CTACGCTATCTGCGCCTTTTTGAAGAAATAACGGTGCTTCGTGATGAAGTAGAGAGAGCGCGAGTCCTTCACCGCCCTGACGAGCCCCCCATGCGTGCCCCACAGATTCAACTCTTGCCACACTTTGCTGTGCATCACCTGGATCTTTTTCACCAGAAACTACGCGTTCATCCTGAGGTTTTCGACGACATCCTCGACTGTATCAGTGACAGCCCCGTTTTCAAAAGCAATTCCAATAACCGTCAGCTCCCCATTGCCCTGCAGCTAGCCATCTTCCTCAATCATGCAGGCCACTATGGCAATGCGATAGCCAATGAGTATGTCTGCCAATGGGTGGGCGTTAGCATCGGATCAGTCACTAATTGCACCAATCGCGTCATGATTGCTCTACTTGAGCGTCATGACGATTTCATCTTCTTCCCAAGTCTCAATTCAACTGACACTGCTCGTGCCCGAGAGTACGTCTCAAAGATCTGCCCTCAATGGCGCAATGGCATCTTTGCTACTGATGGCTCTATGATCAATCTCTGCAACAAGCCGGGGCTCTACGGCGAGACTTTTTTCAACCGAAAATCGGACTACTCCCTCAATTGCCAGGTATGTCTTATTTTTTTTCTTGAAACATTCAACTAATATATGTACATCTAGGTAGTGGTAATGCCTCATAACCTTCTGATTGTGGACTGCTCAATCGGCCATGTCGGTAGCGCACATGACGTGTATGCTTTCCACTCGACACGTGTTTTCAAAGACCATGAGGCACTCCTTGGAGACGACCACTGGATCTGGGCCGATAGTGCTTACCCTTTGGAACCTTGGTGCATTGTGCCATTCAAGAAGCCACACAATGGCGCATTAAGCAGGGTACAGAAAAAATTCAATTGTAATCTCTCTACTGTACGTGTACTGTTTTTTTGTTGTATCTACTCACCAATCTTTGGGTTAGGTTCGCGTTCGCATTGAGCACGCCTTTGCGGCCCTCAAAGGTCGTTTCCAGTCGCTCCGTGAGCTTCAGCATCCAATGCAGACCGAGAAACACCTCGAATATACCTCATACTGGATCATGTGCTGCATGATCCTGCATAACATGGTCATCCGATTCAAAGAAGAGCGCCACTTAGATACTATGAAATGGGCAACAGGGGAGGACGGACTCAAAGAGGAACAACAGGAGGATGTTGGCGAGGACAGAGCTGGTGATATGACATACGAGGGAACACCCGGACAGGCATCTCGCAGTCAGTTGATGGACTACTTACTCGAAACACTTAGGAGGAGGCAGGAATAGACAAGGCACAATGGGTAGCATTAGTGACATAGGACATGTAAGACATACTGGGCATATACCAATGAGAACTAGTTGCACACGACTTCAAACATGAATCCAACGCGAACAAGTACAACAACAAATGCAAGCAAGCACACAAACAACAAATCAAGTAGACGAAACACTCCCTTTTGCCGAAGACCCTTCTTTGAGGTTAATCAACTCGATTTCGAGGCGAAGGGCTGCTGCCTTCTCGGACTGAACCTTAGCCTGTGCTTCGAGAAGATGAAGCTCCAGCGCCTTCGCCTCCTGTGACCTCTCATGCACTGAGGCAGCTTCAGTGCACTCGATTGTGCCCTGTTCACGTTGGAATTGGATGTCGCGCTCTTGGCGGAGTGCATTGACCTTCGCAATTTTATACTCCGAGGCAGCTGCCTTTGCAGAGTAAATGTAGCTGATGTCGTCAGTGAGAGACCCCACTTGGTCAAGCACTTCTGATGTCCCTGAATGAACGCGCCCCGAGAGGCTGCGCTTGTGGGAAGGCTTCGGCTGCCCAGGTCTGCGCAGGGGTGGCGAGTCTTTCGAGTCTAGGTAGGATGATGACGAGAATGTGCGTGCGGATGTGCTGGGGGCACTGGACGACGCGGATGCCATGGATGCTGGCCTTTTTGAGCGAGGGGGGCCATGGTTCATGGCACAAGCGATGTGAGACTTGCTGGTGAAGGCCGCTTCACGACTATCATACTGCGGGGTGCGGTTTGTTGGCTTGAATGTACGGGGCGGAGAGGGGGAGGTTTGGTGTGGGTGTTTCTTGCATAGACGCTGCTGAATGTCATCATGTTCCCCATAGTTGTCCTCCTCCATCTCCATCTCCTCAGCACCACCATCCCAACCTCCCTGACCCATCGTGTAGTCACGATCTTCGAGTGAAGGGTCATGGTCATCATGCATGGGGTCATAGTTGTCGTATGCAGGGTCGTAGTCCTCAATAGCTGCAGCAGGGGTGCCTTTGTTTGGTGAATCATCAAGATCAGGGTTTGTATCATCGAGGTTAGAGTTATTGAGTACACGTGTGTCCGAGGCGGTAGTGTGGGGAGTAGGCTGTGTTAGCGCTTGGAGGCCACCAGCGCGATCTTTGCCAGGAGTAGAAGAGAAAGTCTTTGGAGAAAATGCAGGGTTGTCTTTCCACAGCGCATCAAGGTCTTCGAACCACGGAAATTCAGATGCTACTTGCGCTGTGATTTGTTCTAGCTCAATAAAATAATTTAAATGATTTAAAAAGAATTTACCTCGGAGATTGTCTTTGGTGAGAGGGTCAAGAGGGTTGACGCCAGCGCCAGTCATCCTAAACCGATCAGTTGCAGACTTATACTTCCCCCTGAGACTAAGATTTTTTAGCAAATGCACTTGTGAGTAAAAGGATGTGCTTACTATGTGAGATGATTGGCAACAGCATGGCCAAACTTTGGCTGGTTCCCTGCTACAGCATACTGGGGACCATATACCGGGTTATCTTTAAAGATATGTCTGGCGATTACAAGGTGAATATCCGCTTTGCTCCTGCCAGAAGGACGATCGGTGCTGATCGTCATGTCACGTCTTTTTTTGTTATCGGAGAATAGTACACGGCAGTCAGGTGGGTGTGCAGCGAGCCATGATACAAGGGAGGTGGTGCCATCAAAATCGTTGGTTTCCCACCTGATCTTGAAGGGGGCAAAGGTGGCATCATCCCCAAGAGTGGCGGTAACATCTTCATCGGTCGCAGGTTGATGTTGTGGGGGATCTGGATGGTCGATAGTGCCCCGTCCCCTCCCACGAGTCACAACTGTACCCCTCGCTCTTCCCCTAGCCCTAGCCTTCCCCCTACTACACGAAGGTTGGATATGTTGCGGTGGTGGTGGTGGTGGTGGTGGTGGTTGTGGTGGCGGTTCATTCATATTGTGCTTGAGACCAGCAGATGATTGTGAAAGTCTTTGGAGGCGGGCTGAACGTCGTACAGTAGGCGGGCGTATTGGGGGCATCAGTATGAGTTTTGATTCCAGACTCCGATACCTGCTGCCGGGATTCCGAAAATTTGCATGTTTGTCAGTGTGTTTCATGATTATTGAATTTTACTTTGAATCCCACTAATGTTTCTTTGGTTCTATGGAAGATGGTACTTACAATAACATTGAGAACACTCGCTTCAGGACAACTTCAGTGACAGCAATAGGGGAGTTCAAAGTTGAATTTGGAGGCCGATTTGGGTGCGATTTGGACGTCGATTTGGACTTGGATTTGGACGCTCAAAAACCTCGAAATCCGATTTCAACTTTGACATCCCTCGATTTCGACCTGATTTGACACCACCGTATTCACATTGCCGCGTCGGAGTTTAATTTATCGTTCGGACTGAACGCCAACAAGCTGCAGAATCCGTGCTCGAGGCATATCTTGCAGCACTTGTAGCAGAATCCCAAGTCTTTGTTGATCCTATCTCCTCTAGTTCTGACTCAAGTTCTTCAGGAAGCTCTGACGGCTCGGAGTCTGATGATGACTGGCTGATGCCTACAACCAGCAATGTTTTGCTTGGTGTAGTAGGCTCGTTATACTCTCGGAGATCGTATCACCCGACACGCCCACGCAAGTGTTGTTTTCTTTGTCCGAGTCCGAGTCTCCAACATCCCCTGTGGGAACACCTTTGGCCTTCTTCTTGCGGACTTTCGGAACATTGTGTTTGACCGACCTTTGAGTTGTTGACTGCTTGGATTTTGACATAGTTGAAAAGAGCTACTGCTAGTAAACAAGAACGCCTGCGGTAAACGAGGTGCGCGTAAGTCACGTTATGCGTGTTTGAAAATCCGACTCGCGTTGCCGAATGTTGCCGCTTGACCAGCCGAAATCCATCCCAAATCCACCAAAGCTGATTTCATTTTCGAAAAACCAAATCGACGTCCAAATCGACGTCCAAATCGGCCTCCAAATTCAACTTTGAACTCCCCTAATTTCACCAGGCTGTGACTCAACTATCCAGAGGTTGAAAGTCACCCTAGCAATGTATGCCGGGACCTCCAGCTAGCACGGCCTAATGATGCCAGACTCACTCAATGATTCAAATATTCAGCATGAAGAGCATAAAAGTACTCCATGAGTTCCATACACTGTCCTTCTTTCGTTCAAGTTCGCACATCTAAGGTACCTGTCAACGTGACGCCGACAGAACTGTATATCCATCGACTACTCTACGGCAAGTCTTTACAACGACGTGGCAGACTATCACTATCTCAGCATCTTCTCACACCAAAGATATGTGTTTGTTCCTGCAGAGAGTCGTTTGGTTTGAGCTTGGACTTGGAAGGAAGCGTTTAATAGCTACCTTGAAGTGCGAATTTTGCTGGGTTCTGTGGAAGAGAGTGACATTGGGAGCGCGCGCTTGCAGGATGACACTCACCTGGCCCAACACTCTCACTACGCGATCGCTCAGCTACCCAGGCATTTGCAGGTCAGACGATAGTCACGCAGCCTCATGCATTTGAACCCACCTTAGTAATGGATGCCAAGACCTCGAGTGTCTCTGTGACGGCCGTGCACGGGCCAACTCACGGGGATGTGACTAACTTTGCCCCTATTCCTAGAACAAGCACCGGGTCTCCTAATGGCGCTCACATTGATCAAAGCATTTAGCAAGGAATTCATAAAAGTGCTCTGTGAAATCCTTGCATCGTCCTTCTTTCGTTCGATCTCTTGTGTCAGCATGACACCGACAGAACCATACATCCATCGGCTGCCAGTGGAACTTTTACAACAAATCTTCTTGTTCATCGTTAACAGTGCGCCAGACTATCCGAGTATTTTTTCATGCGGACATGACGCTATTTCGGCCAACGTTGCCAGCCCTCCCCTAGTCTTGACCAGGGTGTGCCACCTTTGGCGAGTTGTTGCACATGCAACGGCAGGAGTCTGGTCGCGCATCCAGATCGTGCTCCCCGGGGAAGTTACATCATTCAGACCATATCTTCCACATCTTCTCCAGTGTTGGCTTGCTCGCTCTGGTAGTTTGCCCCTTACCCTTCGCATTGTTAACAATGCCCCATACCGCAAGCGCATTTGCACCAATTGCTACGAACACACTTCGATAGAAACAGCGGCGGACTCTCGACTCTTCGATATCCTCCTTTCTGAGAGCAAGCGTTGGGAAACGGTCGTTCTTCCATGGATGTGCATGTGTGACTTTCTCGACTTCGACACACCTCAGTTGAGAGTCTTGAGATGTACTCCTTTTGCTCTCAGCAAATTCTATGCACCAAATATTTCTCGCCTATACATCGACGGTGACTGGTGTCTGTTCTCCTCAATCAAATTGGACATCCCCTTTTACAAAGATCTACGTCATCTCCGCTTCGAGAACGTTTCCGTGCATGATATATGCTCCATTATAGCCAGGTTGCCTCGTCTGGAGACCATCACGGTTGATCAAATTAGCATGCCCGATGAACCTGGCGCTAGAAGTTATTCAGCGACACTTGAATCAATGACCCTCCACCTCACCTCCTTCTCGCACGACTCCGAGTTCACCGACATGTTCACCTTCCTTCATCTTCCCATTCTCCGGAAATTGACTTTGGTTGGAGAAATAAATAAAAAAGAAGTTGATTGTCTTTTGTCGATGCTAGCGACGGCATCTTTCCGGGTACCGGTGTTAGATTTTCAGACGGAAACACCATTGAAGAAAGTTTGTATGAACCGCATCGAGTCGTTGCTCTCACTTGTGGGAGAGGTTACTTTTTGTGGGTAAGTGCTTCGCTATCTCGATTCATACACCTGGTCATGCTTGTCTTGTACAGAAACGTGTTTCAAATTGACGAGTATCGGAATTCTGAGTCGTGGCTGAAGCTACCTTTCTGGAGCTGAGTATATATATACGAGGTACACGCCGATGAACCGTGCCTTCAAGTTTCGCCGAGCAATGCACATTCTTGCCTTGTGATAGCGCACAATAAGCCGACTACCAAGTAAACCATTGCCAGTCATCGTGATTGAGTGATTTCCTGATGCTAATGGGTTATAATGACGTATGCGAAGTAATCGATCTTGGTATTATGTAGCGCACTCGTACCCTATGATAGTTTGGAGTCAGGTGTCTTGCTGGAAAGAAAGCAATCAGTGAGTAGAATGAAAGTAATCAAGGGCAGAAGCTTACTCAAAACCCTCTGGTTCAACTACTGAACTTCATGAAGATCAGCGCTCGTTACGAACGTAAGCATCGTTGGCATACCCAACTTCTCTATTGCAAGTGTCATAAACCAGTCAAATTGGTGCCTGCAAAGTTGGGTTCGAGCTTGGACTTCGATGTTTGTGTTAGAAGGTGATTGAAGCATAATGTTTCTTGGGTTCTGTGGAAGATGGTACTTACAATGACATTGGGAACACTCGCTTCAGGACAACTCCCACAGCAATTTCACCACTCTGTGACTCAACTATCCAGAGGCTGAACCCCACCCTAGCAATGGATGCCGGAACCTCCAGCTAGCACGACCTAATGATGCCAGACTTACTCAATGATTCAAACATTCAGCATGAAGAGCATGAAAGTACTCCATGAGAACCATGCACTGTCCTTCTTTCGTTCGAGTTCGCACATCTCTCGGACAGCTGTTAACGTGACGCCGACAGAACTGTATATCCTTCGACTGCCAGCGGAACTTCTACAGCAAGTCTTTTTGCTCATTTTGAACGACGTGGCAGACTATCCAAGCATCTTCTCATGTGGACGTGACACCATTTCGGTCAATAATATTCTGTCCCAGGTGTCATAAACGGTGTTTTGCAGTCGAACGTCCCCGCAATCAATTGCTCATCTGGGGTCATCCGCACCACGTCACTGAAATTATCCTGAAGGTAGCCCTTCGGTAAGTACATGGTTGTTGAGTATGTGTTGGTCGCTATAATATAAACTTACTATCTGGTGTCCATAAGTCTAATCCCTGAATGCTATTGGATTGACATTGCGAGTCTGTCATCAAACGAGCAATCATCGACTGACGTCGGAAGGACGGAAATATCGGTCATGCTTTCCAATGACCTCGCTAGTAGATTGTAGGCTGCCAACGGGAAGGTGGTTTGTTTCATCCCTTATCGGCCGGGACAGAGGCAACGCCTGTGGTGACATTGGCCAAACCAAATGACGAGCCACGGAAACCGAGCGAAAATGCTGTTGAAAGATGTCATATGTTGAGGTCAAGATTGTCGATGCAAGCCATCAGGAAGATATGGCATGACCTGGTTAGCGGGTATCTCGATACAGTCTACTGACCACAAGCATATGATATCTAGTCTTTCGGCATTCCCAACGTCGTGCTCTGTAAGATCTTACTCAATTCGTCTATTCCATGTCAGATAACGCTGTGGAAGCCAATCAGGCTCCTTCCACTCTTTATCAGAAATCTCAGCAAAAATCATTTGCGCGATGACATCGGCACTGGAAACCATGTCATGTATAGATTGAGCCCGAGATGGTTCAGCCACACAATATAAGACTGACCATCCAAATGCGCGCGTCATTCCATGACTGGCATATCCTGCGGCGATGTACTGTTTCTTGTACAGGTCTTTGTTTGGATTAGCTACGAGCAAGTCTGCTACGGGACCAACCTGACGAGGAACACATTAACGACAGTAGTTGTGAGAGTTATGTGCACGTACAAAGGGGTCCCCCATCTTCGTGTAGCCCATGATACCAGTCTAAACCCTCATCAGGGATATCCTCGCGCATGAAAAAGGAGTACCTACCCATTCCATCTCAGGCTCTGAGTTGGGGTCATATTTACCTTCGAATACAGGCGGCAAGAACTCACGAAGCGCTTTCCCAACAAGAGGGTGCGTTTCGGAGTCATCATCCACATATAGCTCGTAACTGGGTGCCGCAGTATCCCGGCCACCACCGATGATGATCAACGGTTTTTCTGTGTCGTGTTTTACAGGTCGGGGGAACCAGTATACAAACCCCTAAAAGAGGGATTGGTCACGAAAATATGGGCTAGGATGGAGTGGCTTACTTCGTTTCCGCTCCAGCTCGGTATCTTAATTTGATCTGTACCTACAGAAGTACGAGTGGCCATTACTTGTCCTCGAGTGGGTATAATTCCATCTGGACCTGCGAGGAAGGGAAGGAGATGGGAGGCGTATGCATTCGTGGCATGAACGACGCGAGAGCACGATATGCTACCCCGGTTCGTCACGACTGTATGGGTGGAAGCCGTTTCATGCGTGACTGCAGTCACCGGCGTCCGAGTGTGCAAACTGAGGGAGGCGTATTTCCCAGCGTGTGCTTGAGCATGCTGGTACAACTTCGTGACGAGTTTCAGCGGCCAGACATTATATCCTGGCTTGCGGAATCCTGGGTATGGGACGCCATATTCCTGGTAATAAGTGGGTTGAATCAGACGTCTGACTAGAGAGATGACTAGCGAGAACAAGCACCTCCTCAACTTCTTCCTTCGAGAGCCATTCTACACCATCTAGATTGAGCTGCGCTTGACGTGCCATATCGAAGTCCTTGCGCTTATTTTTTGCTTCCTTCTCCATGAACAAGATATTTATGTGTCCACCTTCTACGAGGTCGATGTCGCTCGCCCAGCCATTCTCCTCTATGATTTTGACAAGCAGAGAAACGGTGTATTGCTCAAGTTTATAGGACTTGATCGCCTCGATCGTATTAAATAATGCTTGACGTTGAGCAAACTTGGGGAAAGCGGTTGGCGTAAGATGTCCACCATTCCTTCCTACAAACAATATTGTCTGCACAAGGAACTAAAGAGACATAATGCTCCACGCACCGGTCGCTCCTGAGCCTGAAACACATCAGTACTGTACGAAAAATTCACAATCAGCATGGGACTGACAGAAATCTCTCGCTTCGAGTATCATGATACTGAGCGGGTGTTTGACAGAAAACGAGGCATCATTCAAAAGTTCGATAAGGTGGTACGCGACGCCAACACCGGTGATACCAGCCCCGATTATGCACACGTCTGCCTCGCTTGGCAGAGGATCCTGGCTGCCTTCGCCAGCGAGTGGATTTGCGTCCGGGGAGGAATCGATCCAGAAGGAGCGGGTTGGATTACGAGATGGAAGTTTAGCAGGGGGGGTTGGATGCATCAGCAAATTCCCTACGAGATTGTATACAATATTCGCGTGATTGCTACTAGTAGTTTCAGTGGAGTCGTCACGGTAGATGCCCTGTTATCCTTCCGAAGTACTTCGGCTCCCCAAAGCTCCCGGAAACAAGTTACGTGCGTTACCTCGTGCGGTGCACTCCGCGGCTGCCAAGTTCCAACCCATGGCGAAAACTAGGTACCAGCAGTGTAACGTAAGAACGTAATGACAAGACCTCAGAAACCTTGTCATTGAGGACTCCAAGGAGGAACTCAAATGCGTCCTCTGCCAAACATTATATTGCTGACTAAGCACATAGCAAGCATTGAAGGAACTCCCACGGGTTCAGTTCGTCACGGACGACGATGGCAACATCAATGACCCCCCCTCAAATTGCTTCAGATGGTCCTTCCGGGCGTAGAAAGAGGTACTTGAAGATTGTCCTTTTGAAACATTTGACCTCTTATAATGTTTTCAGGTCTCGTTCTCGCTCACCTGGTGAACCAGATGGCATTCCACCTGCAACTCGCCGTCGTTCGCAGTCACCGTCTCGTGTTCAAATAGACCTTCCTCGTGTAAACGATGTGGATCCAATTCGACGGGCTGAAAGAGAGAGGCAACTCGCTGCAAATATAGCAGCCATGACCCTCGAAAAAGCGTCAAATCCAAGAGTGCGGGACAGCGCACAGGACGAAGCAGAAAGGAAGGCTGAATTCGCCAAGCTTATAGGCTCACGCTCGGGTGGCGTGTACATGCCCCCTGCACGTCTACGTGCCTTGCAAGCCGCCGCAGCCGATGATAAAACCAGTCCAGAATACCAGCGATTGTCTTGGGATGCCCTCCGAAAATCTCTCACTGGTATTGTTAACCGAGTTAACATTGCGAATATAAAGCAAATCGTCCCTGAGCTCTTCTCAGAAAATCTCATCCGCGGTCGAGGCCTTTTTTCCCGGAGTATCATGAAGGCGCAGTCATCAAGTTTGCCATTCACGCCTGTATTTGCTGCCGTGGTGGCCGTTATCAACACAAAACTCCCCCAAGTGGGAGAACTTGTTCTCACTCGTTTGGTCAGTCAATTCAGACGATCGTTCAAGCGAAATGACAAGGTAAACAAATCTGAAAGCTACGGTCGAATTTCGAGATTGCTCACCTCTCCTTCCAAGATTGTATGCCACTCAACAACGACTTTTATCGCTCATCTCGTTAATCAAGCCATTGCTCATGAAATCATAGCTCTCCAAATCCTGGTCCTTCTTCTCGAGCGGCCCACCGATGACTCGATTGAAATTGCTGTCGGCTTCATGCGCGAAGTGGGCGCCTTCCTCGCCGAAAACTCACCAAAGGCCAATGCGACTGTCTTTGAGCGATTCCGTGCTGTCTTGAACGAAGGGTCGATCAGCCACAGGGTTCAATATATGATTGAAGTCCTGATGCAAACTCGGAAGGATAAGTACAAGGACAACCCAATCCTTCCTGAAGGCCTCGACTTGGTTGAAGAAGAAGAGCAGATTACACATCAAATTCAGCTTGAGGAAGAGCTCCAGATTCAGGAAGGACTAAGTGCGTACCCGTGTTCTGACAAGAAATTTTGCCTGAATTTTGCATGTAGATATTTTCAAATTTGATCCTAATTACCTGGAGAACGAGGAAAAGTACAAATCTATCAAGGCTGAGATTCTAGGTGAAGGTTCAGGGGACGAAGAATCTGGCTCTGAAGAGTCGTCTAGCGAGGATGAAGACGAAGGTTTGTTTCGTTCTGCATCATATCATGAGCTTCGTGCTCATATCATGCAGTGGTCGCAGACAAAGAAGGCATCGAAGACCGCACGGAGACCAATCTCGTGAACCTGCGTAGAACGATCTACTTGACAATCATGAACGCTCTCAATTACGAGGAAGCCGTACACAAGCTCCTCAAAGTACAGATCAAAGAAGGCGATGAGGTACGTGGTCGTATGGTCAACGTTTCGCAGATGCTTGACTGCCCTTTTAGATTGAGCTCATCAACATGGTGATCGAATGTTGCTCCCAAGAACGTTCTTACTCCACCTTCTATGGTCTTGTTGGCGAGCGCTTCAGCAAACTCAACCGTGTCTGGACGGATGCTCTCGAGCAGGCCTTTGTCAATTACTACACAACAATCCATCGGTATGAGACCAATCGCCTGCGCAATATTTCTCGTTTCTTCGGGCACATGATCGCGACGGATGCCATCTCTTGGATCGTGCTCGAGTGTGTTAAGATCAACGAGGAGGATACGACGAGCTCAAGTCGTATTTTCATCAAGATTATGATGCAAGAGATGATGGAGAGTATGGGACTGAAAGCGCTCGCGGAGAGGTTCAAGGATGAGCAGGTCAAGCACGCGACCAAGGACATGTTCCCAATGGACAATCCGAAAAACACGCGGTTCTCCATCAACTACTTCACGAGCATTGGACTTGGTGTTCTCACTGAGGAAATGAGAGAGTACCTCAAGGTATGTCAAGTCTACACACTCGAGGCATTGAAGTGACTCATTTTTGTGGCAATAGAACGCCCCACGCCTCATTATGGAACAACGACGTGCCATGCTGGAGCAAGAATCGAGTTCATCTAGCAGTGACTCTGATTCATCTGATTCTGACTCTGATTCTGAGTCCGACTCTGACTCGGACACTTCCCCATCAGATTCTGAATCTTCTGTGGACTCTAGGCGACGTCGACGAACTCCTTCTCCCCCTCGCAGAGGGCGAGATGACTCACGTTCTCTGCCACGTCGTAGTGTGCAAGACGACTCTCGCCGTCCCCCTGCACGCCGTGATGGGCGGAACGACTCGCGTACCCCACCCCCACGCCGTGGTGCCCGAGACGACTCACGCACACCTCCCCCACCCCCACGTCGTGGTGCTCGAGACGACTCTCGTTCGCCTCCTCCACGCCGAGGTGGACGTTACTCTTCACGTACGCCGTCCCCGTCGCCTCCCCCGCGACAAAGGGATGGACGAGGATATGCCCGTCGTGACTCTCCTCGCCACCGGAGAGATGACCGGTCCCCTCCACCTCGCAAGCGGGATATGGATGGACGGGATCGAGGTGGGCGGGATGGTGGATACGACCGGCGGCGCAAGGATGATTATCGTGAGAGAGAGCGGAATGAGCGATCTCCTGGGGGTGATAGGCGCAGGAGGGTGTCTAATGAGAGGGAGAGAGACCACGGTGGCAGGAGATAATTCGCTGGTGGAGGTGGATTGTGTTATCCCTACGTGTACTCGTGCTGTCTGGTGTTTGTTTGCATGATAATGAATGCAAAGTGCTCTGTATATGCAGATATTATCTATTTCAATGCTGTCACAGGAGTTGTAGTCGCTACAGATTGAAGTAATCAAGTTGATTGAAGAACCAGATGCGGCACAAACAAGAATCAACGTGTCCGTCACTTCTGAATTTCTACATATTCGTTTTGCAGGGGACAGACTATCATGCGATCTACATTTATAGTGTTCCAGCAAGCCTGTTGTTGGCTCCATCCAAATTGAAGACCGTTCACCTTATGGTGTGGTTGCCGGACCCGGTGTCTTGCAGTGACACGGGGGGTCCAGGACGAACATGAGGCTGTGGGACAATATTAATACATGCAGGCGATAAGGGAAACTTGTCTTCTCTCGCGAGCACTTATTCGGGCGAAAACATAGTCCTATACCAGATAGATATACGTCACAAGCACCGGAAGCCATGCTAGGGTGATATTGTGAATGTATCAAACGGTTTTCAAACCGGCCAAAATGCTGTATACTATTGCAACATGAAGCTAGCGCCGCCTCACGGAATCCATGCCTTCCGCCTGCAGGACATGAAAACTCACTTGTCTTACCAGCGCGCCCTCAGTAACAGACCGGTATACCAACTAGTGAGTGCGAGTCAACTTGTTCGTCCCCATAATTGATCACCACCCGCAGCAGCCTGAGAGTCGGATTGATCCACAAGATTACAGTAACGAGCTATGACTTCTACTGAATCCTCTGCAAAGCCGACCCTCGAGGAAGCTTCAATCCCAGTGCAATCCAGAAGACCAACTCCTAAGCACAATTTTGAAGGACACGAGAAGGAGATTTGGGGTTTCGTTTTCCTGCACGACAATGTCCACATTGTGAGTGGTTCAGTGGACGGCACTATGCACAAATGGAACTGCGACACGGGACTTACTGTCGGGGAACCGTGGAAAGGTGAGGGAGGAGGCATATATCCGCTAGCACTTTCACCAGACGGGAAGATAATTGCCTGTGGGAGAGAGGACGGAAGCGTTCAGCGGTGGACTACCGATGGGGAGATGATGGAAGGCATTTGGACGGGCCAAAGCAAGGCAGTGTGGTCGTTTTCGTGGTCACCCAGCGGAAGTCATATTGCCAGCGGGTCCGAAGATGGAACAATCCTCATTCGAAGAGCAGAAAGTGGAAAAGTCGTGGTGGGCCCGATCAAGACGAAGCAGGAGGGGGTGGAAGCTCTTGCATATTCACCTTCGGGTGACAGAATCGCATCAGGCGGGTTCAATACAATTTGTGTCTGGGACACGAAGACCGGCCAGCCTGTCGTTGGCCCTATCAGCCTGGGGCTCTCTGTGACATCGTTGGTGTGGTCGTCCGACAGCACCAAACTCTATTCCGCATCCGACAAATTTGCACGTGTCTTTGACAGTAAATCGGGCAAACTACTCCATCGCTTCAAGCACGACCACGTCTTGTATTCGATCGCACTCTCTCCCAAACACAATGTACTGGCATGTGTCGGCCACCAAGGTGTTGCACAGCTATGGGATACAGAGTCCCATCAGCGACTCGGCCAGCCATTTCACCAGATTTACGACACCCTTTACTATGTGTCGTTCTCTCGAGACGGGAGATACGTAGCATATGGCGGAGACAACAAGAAACTCACTTTATGGGTGCTCAAAGACATGGCTCCTCAGCTTCCAGCACCTACACCAGTTCAACAACGCGATAGCCAAAGCACACAACAGGAAACTCGGTCCAACTCCTCATCATTATCATGCCTCGATGTCAGTACTTTCACGTTTGACTGCCTGTCTTATTTCCTTATATTGCTATTACAGGCTGATGCTACTGGGGGTGATGGCTTCATTGACGGGGTGCACGATGATCTATACGACAATTTCTTCCAGGTGAAACTCGTATTTTCGTCCAAAAACTCTAGCACTGACAACAAGTACTTGTAGTCTTCGCAGCAATCTCTTCCATCGCCATCACCATCACCTGGCTACCGTCTCCCCCCTTGGTTGTCGGTTCGCTGCCTCTGGAATGTCGTTTCTCGACATCGCCCACCGCCAGACGAGTCTATTCCACAAGAACGCTCAAGACGCAAGTTCTTTGCTCGTCGTGCTCGCTCAGGCTCACCACTAGAGCATACAACTATCAAATCCAACCAACCCGTACCGGAGGAGAAAGTGCGAGAAGGGGAAGGCGAGCAAGGTGTCGATGTTGATGATGTACGTGCTGTTTCGACTCTCGCGCGCCGTCATCTCAACGCGACGGCTGTTAGCGCGGTTCTCGAAATGATCCACTCAGTGCCAGAAAGGATAAAGGCAAACAGCAAGATGATGCTCCCGCTGACGCGCAGAGCCTACCATCTGATGATCGTGCTCCCCCCGCCCCCCTCGTTAGCCAAAATAATCGAAACTTTTGGGAACGACTAATACATCCTCGGGGGAAATTTTTCACATTTGGTTTACCGTATCCTCAACTTGAAAATACACCCCAACGCAGAATACCGCATGATCCCTGGCGCTGGAATTTTAGCTTAATTCCAGCAGGATCTTCTAGATGTTCCGATGATATTGCTGCTTGCCGCGATGAAGATGTGAGTAACTCGACATCGCTTCCCTTTCATATTATTTAAATCACTCTGCAGAGATATGGCATTACCCCTGAAACTGACGAGGAGGCGGCTGCAGCCATGCTACGCAATAATGACGATGTGGCCGACAGCTCAACGCGACCAGGTCGACGTGCAGTGGTGGCACAGCCCACACAAATACAAGACTCGACAAGCGGTTCAGATGAAATTGTAGTAAGCTGCTGTGGATTTGTCATTAGCCGTCGTTGTTGTTCCAACTCGCATCAGCCATAAGTTCATTTGCTGAGATACTCCATGTCACTCGAAAATTTATTTATTTTATGAACTTTGTATCTAGACTACATATCTCATACCCAGCTTGGCGCAGTCTATGTATGCAAACGGTGATATTTGTTTTAGCTGAAAGCATGTTATCATCTGATTTCGAAAGAGCCGCGAGTCGTCCCGAAACTCGAGCGATTGACATGTTGTCATCAGTCACTAGTCAGTCTTGGTTCATTGCATCGCCCTCAGCATCAGGAAAAGTGCATGTCTCTACATAGTATGTACACTGTACAGTATCATACGAAGATGCCCCTGATCTTCCTACAAAACACGCCAGTTTCTGAATAAACTCGCGAATGTTTTGCGAGGGGCCTGCGGCTGCGAACAATGGTCCAGAATAAGTTTGCGAACGTCTTCGTAAGACTGTGCACGACCTTGTCGTAAATCCTGGGATTGTGCGCGTCCACCCGGCAGAGTTGTGACACAAGCATGTCCAGGGAAATGCATCCCATATTTCGCAAGCTCGTCCTTGTTCCGGTTCCACCACTCTGTCATCACTGGACGCCAGTATTCCAGGTGTGTCGCTACGATAACAATCGGCACTTTGCTGTCACCGATGGCTGATGAGAAGGTTTTGTAATTGGTTCGTAGAGCCTTTGTAGCTCGCGTTCCGCGCACGCAATACATAAAGAGATGGACACCGTCTCCCTTGTTCAGGTTACGGAGGAGTAGAGCCAACTCCTTTGCAGCCGCGGCCGCAGGGACTCTGCCCTCGGAGCCCTCATTTAACCCTAACGACATGGTTATCAATCCGCTCTGTCCTCAAACCTCGGAGTGAAAGAATGCCTACCTGGCGTATCCCACAGCCTGAAGCGTCGCCCGCTGATCGTCACATAATATGCAGCATGTATAGTACGGCGTCAAGAGATGTTTCCGCCACGTTGCGGCCCGTAATGAGGTTTATCAGTGAGCTTTTGCCCACTCCACTCTCCCCCCAGAGTACCACATTACACACCACGCCAGGCACCACGCTAGGCACCATGTCAGGCACCACGTTACGCACCACGTCAGGCACCACGCTAGGCACCACGTCCGCGTCAGGCAACGCGTCAGGCACCCGACTCTCATAATCCTAGAGGCCGACATCAGCCATCTGTTGACCGATTTCACAGTGCACTAACTGGGATTTCGTCCTTGATATGCTGCGCCACCTGCCGAGCCACTTCTTGGGTCATCCCGCATCGTTTTGTGAGAATTCCAATGACATCCGTCTTCTTGGGCCGTCCAACGACGGATTCCATAAGTTCGCTAATGAACGAAGAAAGCCATTCTTGCTCGCCGGTCCACGCTCCCATGGATGCATTGCAATGAGCCTCAACCACTCTACAGAGTATTCCGCGCGACTCCTCATACTTGTCTCTATGTCTCCCGTCGAGAAGATTCGCCGCAGTTATGCATGCGTGTCCTGCGGACCTAATGTTGTGCTTCTCCAAGTGGCCCGCATTCCGCGTGTACCAGTCTTCCATGTTTATCTCTCTTTCGAGGTTCGTGACGACTAGCACGAGTGGGACTTTTTCCTCGCAGAGAAATTCGAAGAACAACCTATAGTTGCTCTGCATGGTTCCCGTGACTCTACTTCCGCGTATACAGAAGAGCAAGAGGTCGATACCTCCACGTTCTTTCAAGGTGTGGATGAGGCCATATGCGTTTGAAATTGCAGTGAGGTAGTCTTGATTTTGCACACGGGGCTCCTGGAGGCCGATCGTATCAAACACCTTGTATCGAGCCCCATTTTCGAGGGTTATTGGATACTCCGTCCAATGCAGAGTACAGACGTGAGAGTCGGGCGCTATGTGCGCAATCTGTTGACCAGCCATCAGGTTGATGACGGAGCTTTTGCCCGCTCCTGTTTCTCCAAATATAACGATGTTCCGAGCCAACCCTGGGGCCATCTTATGTTAGAATTGCGGTCAGTGATATTTGAAGTTGGATATAGCGCTACTCGTACCTGTGTATGTCCAAAATTTCTAGCTGATAGGACGACTCAGAGTAAAAACTGAAACGTCGCTAAAACTCCAAGAGGTACCCGCTCGAGAGAAAATGTACATGAGGCCACCATGCTCACACCGTTACGACCTCAGGTTCTGGTACAGCAAAAATTACCAAATTTAGCATACCCCTAGGGCGTGTGGAAATTCCCACGGGGGAACAGCGGGCGAGCGACGAACATGTATTGCCGAACATCCTAGCCTGGCATCGTACAGACGAGCATATACGACTCTTAGATTTAAAAAAAGTCTTCCTCTGAGAGCTGGTGCCACTAATGCAAATGTCACTGCAGAACCAATCTGCCTCGGGTAGCATCAAGCAAACCAACACATTCAGAATGAAACTATCGAAAACGGAATCAGCCGCGGTCATAGAAGCACAATATCGTCAAAAAAAAAGACAAGTACCCATCGATTGCAGTTATCGAAGTTGCATTGGACCATTTCTCTGGATTCCGGCCCTCGACCAGCAAATCATCTTGTGGGTCAGAGTCATGCTGAGTATCTGCATTTGGAATGACGTGATTCTTCACTTGAAGCGAGCTAAAGCGTGCTAGCGCTGTCGAGGGACGAATCTTGATGGCATCTGATGCATGATGGTCGGACGAGGTTTTGGTGCAGATATGTCTTGACACAAGCCTACACTTTGGTAGCTAAATATCCCCAACTCATACTTCCTATTACATAAGTAGTCAACACTCACACGTGGAAGTTGCCCCTATTTAGAGGCATGCCAGGGTGTTGTGCTAGAAAATGACATAACCCCTTACTATTCACCCAACCTCAGCATCGTTACGCCAGCTTGCAACTAGATCCTAACCGACAACTTCATATCAGTAAGTTCACAGTTATGTCCTCAAAGCTTATCCTTTTACTTAGCTTCTACTATAGGAGCTGTTATGGTGTACAGAATAGGCGGATACGTGTTTACTCCTGAGCTCGTACGCGTCTGTTCCAGAAAATGGGAGTTGAGCACGAGCATCTAGCCGAATCATCTCTTTGCACCGCACTCAGACAATGGTTTGTTGAGCGAGGGATAAATAATGTAGTACCTGTCCCCACTGGCTATCCCGGCAGGTGCGGGAAACATGTTGTTGTCATGGTGCGAAGGGAGAGAGAGGATCCCCATTCTACTCCGTTCAACTTTTCCGTTTTTCCGGAGGAAACTAGAGACCGCCAGTGGAAGGAGCAGATCATGGCAGAGAGTGGATTGACTGACGAGCAGATTCCGTGGGCTACTATCGCGGACCCGTATTTCCAAGAAAGTTGGTTCACAGAAGATGTAAGTTAGTAATGTCGTCGTTCTTGTGATGAGCATTAGCTTGCTTGGTCGTACTACTCTGTACATCTTGACCTCGTTTGTTTACAGTTTTTTTTTGAAATGTACTAGCCTTGAGTCAGTGAATTACTGCTTGCAAGGCCTCCTTCGAATCTCCACACTTTGATCTATAATACTGAGGTAAGTATCACGCTGCGCCAGTCGATATCCTCCTACCCTTGAGACCGCCTGCACAGCTCACCAAGACCTCAAATCATGTTTAGTCAAGACACCTTCAAGGAGCGTGTTCACTGTTTGCAACGGTTTTGACAAAAATGCAAGAAATGTGATCGATCAACAATTTTACATAAACACAATTCGCCGGACAAGTTGCAGCCTGCCAGAGAAAGTAGAGGAAATGAGACATCCAATCGCCAAAGACCCTCCTCCACTAACGTGGGAGTCGGGGAATTGGGTTAACCGGGTCAAGGAGTACCTTATCCGTGTTTCAAAACGGGAACGCCAGTTCAGCGACGTGAATGAAAATAACACAATCTCTGCATCATATCAGTGGGAACTCTGATAATGTGGAACTATGTATATACAGTGCAGGAAAGCAGAAAAGGCAAGTTATCAAAATCGTATTCGGATCAAGAAAGCGGATCATGACAGTATTAACAGGTCGCTGGAATACAAAAATTCTGCATTCTGCGTCTAAAACCAACGGCAAAAGCTACAACAGTGTTTCTGATATCTGGAATCCGCAAATCCAAGCACTGGCTGTGATTTTCAGAGCCACGATAACAGCTTCCAAGAGAGGGCTGCAACAATCGTCACAAGGACACCCGGTAATGGTGCAGATGCCATAGCACCACTCGATCCTGGAGCGGGAAGGAATTGTGCAGCTTCCGATGCCTGTTCTGATGAAGACTCCTAAGATGTTTTACCCGTCAGCGCTGTCCTGCCGAGGGAAGAGGAGGAAAGAACCTTGAATGCAACTAGCCCCACAATGATGCCAGCGGCAAAGAACATAAAGGCTATTACAAGCCAAATGACACCCCACACTAATGAGGGTATTAGCGAAGGTTCACCAGAGGTAGAGGGTTTGACCTTGAGATGGGAAACAGCCACAAATCCGAGCGAATGCGGATGCATCGGAGCTATTGACTTTCCGCGCGATGGTATCGTCTGAAGGAATCTATCAGTCTGACGCGTGCAAAACTTGAGGGTAGACATACCTATCACGTCCCACAGCACATACAAATCCGACATTACGCCAATGAACAAGACCTAAGTTATTGAGAGGTTTAGCCTGGAATACGAGAAACGTCCAGAACAACTCACAAAGAAACGCAATGCCACACTGTCCGCCACTAGCCAGAATAGCACGACCAAGCCGGCCATTCCAAGAATGAGTACCCATGTCCTGCGTGATCCGTTCAGTGCTCGTCCTTCCGCAGCTGAGCAGTGCAGGAACAATACTCACAGCCAATTCCTGCGCGCCCACCATAACGTGAAGAGGAAAAATACACCAAGCACAAGACAAGCTATTTTGCTCGCATTGGTATCAAATCCGCATGCAATAAGACAAGCGCCGATGAGTGAGGACCCGAGGTATCCGGCAGGAAGGGTAATCCATGGTATACCGCCCGACATACGGGTCTCGCCGCCTTCGTCGGCTGTCCGAATGGTGACAGAGTAAGCAAAGGCTCGATGGCGAAGTAAAAGACATTGAACTAACGATCGAGCTCGACGGAATGGATAGTAGCACAAGTCAAGATACCAGTAATTGCATGGCTCATCTAGGAAATGACTCAACGCCTTAGGGCCTCATGTCTTGAGCAGCGGTGAGGTGAGCCTACCTCATGGAAGCCCACGGTAAGCAGTCTATAATGATATCAACGTACAACCTTTTGGATCCCTAAGAGAAACGTACTTGAAAGGGTATACTGCGTAGTAGATCCAGAGCACATCAGGGCGCCGCAGGAGGGTATGACATGAAGAGGTAGTACTACGCACTAATCCAACTCAAAACCGGGACATGCCTGCGAACAAAAGGCTCGACCATGGCCATTGCAGGGATGTTGGTAGACACTCACCAGAGAATAGCGATGATTATAACATAGCAGCCTGCAACGATTAAAGTTGTCCTCTGAGTAGCGTTCGGAGCGAGTTGTGTGCCGACGTCTCTAGCGTACAAACTAGAGGATTGATCATCAAGGTAGGGCATTTCGTAAATCGTAAAGAGAACGGGACCGTGAACAACAGACGAGAAGCACAAAGCCCAAGCTGCGCGCTCACAGCAATCAACATAACCTGAGCTGGAGCACGTGCCACACGCGCTTATAGCAAGACATGATTCAGAGTCAGAAATGCATGAATCCATTATACGAAAATAGTAAACAGGGTACATAAACAACAGCCCGAGGGTAACAACACAACAGATGGCATGAATGCGAATACATAATGAGGAGCATACAAGAACATATCAACAATACCATGACCAGCAGGCAACTTAAAGCTCATCATCGGTGATTTCTTCACCTCGTTTCTTACGAGCCATACGCTCCTTCTTGAGCTGTGGAAATAAGAACTGTGAGCGCAATTCACAACGAAACAAAGAGGTGAACTGACCTTGCGCTGTTCAGCTGACGTCAGCTTCTTTGCCTTTTTGTTGTCGATCTTGTTGCCCATGGCATCATATTGAACCTCCTCCTCGCCATCCTTCTTGTCAATGCGGGGACCTGAACCTTGGCCCTCAACCCAGTTGTGGCCGGAAGCCTCGAGGTGGCCATCGCGCATGGCCCACACCTCATGGCAGAGGGACTCAGAGAAGTCCCTGTTGTGGGTGATAACGAGCACACCACCCTCAAAGACCTTCAAGGCCTCGATGAGCGCAGCAAGCGACTCACGATCAAGGTAGTCTGCGTGGGATGTAAGTAAAAGAAAGGAGAAAAAAAAGTAAGCGAACATACTAGTCGGCTCGTCCAAGCAGATGACGTGAGGCCGGCGCCATGTAGCAGCACCGAGAACAATTTTGACTTTCTGACCGCCAGAAAGACCCCTCATAGTGTTATGCGACACAAACTCGGGCTCGAGACCGAAGTCAGCAAAGTGCTTCTCAATCTCCCGACGAACGAGAGGGCGCAAGAGACCGAGACGCTGGGCTTCGCGAGTATCCACCTCGAGAACTTTCTGCAAAGAGATGGGTCATCAGCATTAAGCAGTCGCTAGAACCGAATGATATGAACCTTTTCGAAGCCACGCTTGATGAGTTCATCACGAGGCATCCACACGTTCTCCGAAGAGCTCATGTTCTTGAAAGAAACCTCATACTCGTAGGACTGCTTCAACTTCTTGCGCGCGACGATCTCCTCGATGAACCTCTTGGAACCGTCCTCGTGAACATACAGGGAACCGTCCTTCATCTTTTGTGCTTCGGCATCGGTAATTTGACGGCTGGCCTTCTGCATCTCTTCCAAATCCTCACCAGTCTGGTAACGCCAGAGCATGTATTCGAGAGGAGTCTTGTCCAGGTGGTGGTCAATATGGTGGAAGGCGTGCTGAGCAACGTAACCGATGACTAAGTTGGGGTGCTTCCAGGTTTCACCACCCTTGTTGGGCTCCATGTCGCCGATGAGGAGCTTAACTAGTGTCGACTTGCCCGAACCGTTGGGACCAAGGACAGCAACGCGAGACGAAAGAGAGACTTGGAGATTGATATCGTAAAGTTGCTGGACGGTTTGTGTGGGGTACTGGAAGCCAACCTTGCGCATCTTGAGTAAACTCTTCTCCTTGGTCTTGACACCCTCGAGCAAAGGTGGGTCTGGGAGCTTGAACTTGTAGTCCTCAGCAGCCTCGAGGGTGTAGTAAGACTTCGCCTCAGGGACGACCTTAACGAAAGCTTCAAGGTTACCGCGGTATCTCTTGACCTTGAAGCGGTTAAGGTGGAGGACATCGGTGATCGTGTTGTTGAGGAAGCTAGAGTCGTGTGAGACGATGATGGAGGTACAGGTCTTCAGGCTGACGAGGTAGTTCTCCAGCCAAGCAACGTTAACAACGTCCAAGTGGTTGGTAGGCTCATCCAGGAGGAGGATGTCAGCTTTGAAAAGCATGGCCCTGGCGAGGGCAAGCTTCATCTTCCATCCACCGGACAAACTGCCGATGGCGTGCTTCTGACGCTCATCGCTGAAGCCAACGGAAGCGAGGGTCTCGACAACTTCAGCCTCACCAGCAAGAATGCGTGAATCAGAGAGGATGAACTGAAGGACCGACGTGTCGGCCTCACTGCCATCGATGTCGTGCTCGACATAGAATGTGCGAACCTCATCAGGGGAGGGGAAGCCTTCGACCTGTCCGTTGGTGATAGCACGCATGAGGGTTGACTTCCCTGTACCATTCTTACCGCAGAGACCGTAGCGGTGGCCACGCTTGAGGCGGAGGGTTGCGGTGTTCAAAAGAATCTTTGCACCGTAGGCAAGGGAGAACTGGCAGTTGCACAGGTCTTCACCCTCCTCCTCATCGTCAGGCACTGTATCATCCTCAATGTCCTCGCTGGCAGAGCGAACAACCCATTCCCTTGCAATGGAAACAGGGTCAGGAGTGGGGGCAAGGAATGCGAGGTAAGAAGCGAGTGTGTCCCACTCGGGGACGTCGAAGTTCTTGGCGTTAACAAGGTTAGCAGCAAGGCGCGAGACGTAGACGGCAGAAGCGTCAGTGGTGGAGAGACTGGCAGCGCCTGCTTTCTTGTAGATAGCGGCGAGGGATGAGGCAAGTTGTGATGCCTCAGCAACTTTCAGTGCAGGGAGGTCGGTACCATCGCTTTCAGCGGGGACTTCACCGACTTGGCGGAGAGTAGCAATGGCTTTGCCAACCACGCCACGAGCCTCCGGGTCACCAATAGTAGTCTCGACCTTGATCAAGCCAGGAAGGAGGTTGGGCAAGAATGGACGGACAGTGACAGGAGAGTCCACAAGCTTGGCCATGTTGTCGACGATGCTATATGCGAAATGAGATCTGTGTCCGAAAAATGAAGAACTCAATACTTACACTGCAACCTTACGCTTCGTAGCGGTAAGCTTCTCTAGGAGACCACGAGACAAAAGGGGAACCATCAGGGAAAGAGTAGCGGAGTCTACTTCGGAAACGAATGTGGTAGCTGAGAGGAGCTGAACGGTATTCGGCACCTCTTCGACAGGATTTATGAGAGCTTTAATAAGAGCTGGAATAAAGCGTTCAATGTCCTTGTTCGAAACCAACGCAGTAGCCTTTGTAAGAGAATCGCGTGCAGCCTTCTTCACGTCTGCCTTGGTATCCCAGATAGCCTCAGCAAGAATAGGGACGATGTCAGGCATCAGGCGAGCGGTTTGAAGGGGCGCAGACACAACGAGCTGGTTCAGGACAATAAGCGAGCCGGTCTTCACTTGCCATTTACCGGCAGTTCTAATTTCGTGAAGAAGTGCGGGAAGAAGAAGGCCGGTAGCCCATGGGTTCATGGAGGCTACAAACTCCCGAACTGCCTCAACGGCTGCATTACGAGGGGCAGGCATTTTGTCGGCAAAACCCTCAATGAGGGCTGCGTAGAGACCAGAATCGATGAAAGTAGGTTCAAGGGCCTTGGTAGCGCCCGCCTTGGCAAGAGTGACTACAGCATCAGCTGCACCCTCACGGGCAGCAGCCGATTTTTTGTCGGCAAGAGCCTTTACTGCGGCTTCAACGAAACCGACAGCAGCAATGGCAGCGGGGCCATCATTTTGAACGGCCGAAGCCAGAACCTTTGCGGCTGCATCACGGGTAGCTTTGTCAGCCACAAATAGGGCGGCAACGTCGACTTGACCGTCAACAGGTCCCTTGAGAGAGGCGGGAGAAGGAATAGCAGGAGCGGTAGAGGTAGCAGCAGGCATTTCTAGTATCTAAGCTAGCTGTGAGCACACAGAAGACACAAGCGCGAGATCATGAGCGTACCTTTAGTAGAGACGTTGAAAGTAAGTTTTCTTCTATGAAGTTGGGATTAAGCAAACGAAAGCTACAAGAGTAACCTCTATGTCTACTGAGTGGCTAAATGCCTGAAAACAGGTCAGTCACAAACGATTATATATAGAGGAGGACGAACCTCTATTGAGATATGAAGAAGAGGAAGAAAAAGAAGTGAGAGACAAGTGAAGAAAATCGATCAGGAAACGCCTGCGATATAAGGCTACAGCCTCTTGCGGAGTTGGAAAAATCGAGATAATCTAGATTATCTCACCTTGCGCCGGCCGACAAAAGCGGTGAACCGGCTGATCTTACATCACCGTACCGAGCACAGCTCGGGGCGTATCTCACTGCCTTACCCCGCATCTTTGAATTATCTAACCGTCCTATTGCTCGATATCTACAGGACATCAGAAAAGAATATGTGTGGGGTCACTCCTTCTCGTCTAGCTTAGCAAAGCTCAACGGCGTGAACGACTGTAATTCAGAAAAAATGGATCAGCACGCGTACTACACGCACATAGGAATAGACGTACATATCCCTCTCCTTGGTAATGTTTGCTATTCGCTTCGACCCAGTGCAAACGAAGCGCGTGCAAAAATGCCGAGAGACCCTGTTTTAGATGGGAACATGTCACGAAGCATGAGTATATCTGATCCACGCCTGATGGGCATGTTTGTAACACGCACCTCCATGATGCACAGAATGAACACCGTTGCTAAGAACCAGAAAACAACCACCATTACGAGGGCAATCGTCCCGAAGATACCGGACAGCCCCAAAAATTTCTCGATTGTCATTGACCACAGCACCTCGGATAGCTGAGCATGTGCCAATGACAGGGCCCATAGCCGAAGGTAAGATGCGGTATGTGAGATACAGCCAAGACAGAATTCAATGGTATGGATTATCTGATGGATTACCACCTCGCTGAAGTCGTGGTGTTCCTGTAGATAATGATCAGTAACGACAGCACCCCTATCTGATTAATAATAACGTACATGCTCTTCCTCCATCTCCTCCACAATGGCACGACCGTTACCCTCTTCCTCATTCTCCAGAACTTCATCTGTACTCTCACGAGGCCCACCGTTACGGTGACCAAGTCCAACATACCCTTGACCCTGGATCATTTGCATCTCCTTCCATTGGAAGTACGGTTTCATGCACAACATCCAGGGCACGCAGATCATCGCGAGTAGAAGAAGCACGACCTGAATGAAACTCTGCCCGGGATATAGCTGTGCAGCCGCATCTACCTTCCCTGGTGACAAGATCATCGCAATTAGCATGTTCAACAATGAGGGAGGCTCCGTGTCTCGGGTGGACCAATCAATCGACCACTTGTAAAGGATGCATACGACCAAATAGCCGAAAATTGAGTGCAAGAAGATCATTTGGGGAATGAAATTGGCATAAATGTCAAGCGGGCGTTTGAACTTGATGTGATTTGGGAGCTGTAGACAAAGGGCAAATGTCATCTGGAAAAACGTGATCGTTTGAGCGTGATGATGGAGCTGCCCCACAGTGGAAATGAGGACACACATGAATGACTCCAAGCACGATTGACATCTTCATCTTGTATGAATTTGTAAATACGAGCCCGTTATCCGCACCGTGCCAGCCAGGGTCTATCCCAAAAGGATAGATATGACCATTAGAAACGGCGTATGAAACTCCATCTGACTCAGGGAAGTCCCACCCAGAGTGCCAGATGTGGAGACTCTTGGAAAAAATGTCGTTGTACATGAGGCCGGTGTAGACGGAGAACACGCCCATGAGAAGAATGATATATCGACCACTGGTGTCGTTGTTAACGAGGGCATCGATTGAATCGTGTTAGAACTTACTAAAAGAACTGGCCGAGGATCTGGTACACACAACAATTAAAGTTCAGCGATGCGTGTACCAACCCCAAACATGACTCACCTCATCAAGTTCCTGTCGTGCCCATTTCTTCTCTTGGAAAATCATGTACAATGCGGCAAAGAAAATAATCAATCCATGCCCAATATCACCAAACATCACGGCGAATAAGAAAGGGAACGTAATGATGGCAAACAGACCAGGGTTGACTTCTTGGTAGGTAGCAATACCGTAAGCGTCCATGATGGTCTGGAAGCCTTCAGTAAACTTATTGGTACGCGTGAAGGTTGGTGGCGTTTTGCTCGTGCTCAGCTCTTGTAAGATAGGAACAATACTCGTTCCAGACTCCTCCTGAGATTGGTTGCATGACTGAGAAGTTCATCTAGAATATGCGACTGTCTTACCGTGGCGTGACGGAGTGCCATATGGATCATGGCAAGGTCCCTTGTTGGGACCCAACCCTCGGCGACAAGTGTCTTCCTCCTGACATCGTAGTTGAGAAGATTCATCGTCTCATAAATCGCCTTCTCCTTGCGGACGACATCCTGCCACCTAGCCAGATTTTCTCCGATTCTCAACAGCTCACTGCGTCTGTTGACACCTGTGTTATACAACACAGTCTCCAAGTCTTCCAAGCGTGCGGTGACCTCGCGCAGAGAGTCTGATCGTTTGTCGGCATTAGCGTCGATTGGATAGAGTGTCGCACCCATCGACTCTGCCACTTTTCGTATCTTCGCAAGTAAGGCATCACCATGCGCGAAAATTATGAACACATTCTTGCGCGTCTCAGTGCCAGTAGCAGGATCAACGAAGGGCTCTGTGATATCAGTGTGATTCATGTAAAGATTACCCCTCAGGACACGCCATAAGACGCGCTCGAATGTTGATATACGGGTACGGTCGATGGTGCCAGCAACGAATCTACCTTCATGTCAGTACAATAATTATAAGGGCATCCACGGACGTACTCGAGGTCAAACTGTGCAGTGGATAAGTATTGTTGTTCCCGGTCATCATGTTGCAGAAGAGGTGCGGAGCTATCATCGAAAGAAGTCCTGATGTCAGTCTGCTGGGTCTCAGCCTACATGGCGCAAGTCAGTTCGTCATGTATGCCGACCCGTCAATCAAACAGACTTGCCTTGTCAAAAAACACGGCAGTCTCTCGAAGAACATGTCGGGCCTCCACCAGCTCCCTTGTACGCTCACTCAACGTCTTATAGCTATCATTCATCTGCACTAGCCGCGTCTCATGCTCGGCAAGTGTGACATCAAGCTCATCAATATTATGCGCAGCACTCGGCCCAACCGTGACTAACGGCGCTGAATCATATAGAGGACGGATAGGAACCACATCCTTTTCCCTCTGAATCTGAGATTCAAAGAACCGAACACGTCGTGCCATTTCTTCCGTTCTCCGTATTTCACCGACAAAGGAACGTTGAAAGGGATTAACAGCAGGATTCAACTGTGGTATCATTCAGCGGCATGACAATGACTAAACAGAGCGCACGTACGTCCATAAATTGAACATTTCCCAGTTCACCGAGCTCCGCAACTGTGTCATGGGCAACTTCAGTTGGAATAAGGAACTGCATCAAGCTCATCTGTTCCGAACCTGGTGAACATCATCAGTAAAACGGAGTTATTACAGTTCAGATTCGTGCGCACGGAACAGCGTGGGGTAATCGTCCCCCATGGTAATGGATCTGTACACTACCAAACAAATGAGAGCAAAGGTCAGAAGGACGTTGGAAAAGTAATGCCGCTCAACTTGCAAGGTTACGCTGTTTATTTGGCACTGTTTATGTATCATAAGCAAACCTTAGCTGACTCATAGAAAGCGGCTTGCGATAGTGGCTGACGCTCCACGCAAGAAAATACATAAAAAACTGTTCTAACTCTACTCAAAATATGTATAGTACAATGATCATTTACGGATGCCCAGAACCAGCCCGCCCTGGGCGGAAACTCCAATGCTTCCACACAGGCTGGGAATACTCTTCGGGACCGTACGCGCCTAAAAAGTAATAACAAAACTTATTCGACATGCCTTGCTAATCATTCCTCCACATCCATATCCACCACGTCGTCGTCGTCGTACTCATCGTGGTCATGAGCAGGTTCAGCCTCCCCGTCGAGCAGTTTTTGCTTGGCGATGGCAGCAAAGCCCTCTTCAGTCTCATCAGTGAGCTTCAAGGGAATGTTATCATCAACAATGATAGCTTCTGCCACTTCTGGGACAGCAGCAGTCAAGTCCCGCACGCAATCGCACAACTTTTCGAGAGACTTGTCAAACGTTGGGTCAGCCAAGACAGTGCGTGCGCGTTCCGCTGCAAGACCTTTCGACAAAGACAGGTTGGTGGCTGTAATAGGGCCGACGACAACTACGTCATGCACGACCACAGAAACACTATCGTTTCGCCGGAGATCGGGGTTACTCTGTGTCTTCCTGAAAAATAATGAGTCACGAGAGTCCTACAAGCATTCCTCCAGGGAACTCACTGGAAGGATATCCGCCTGCATCCTGCTGCAGCTGCCCAGACCATCAACTCAGACACAGGGTCCCGAGGTAGATCCGTTGTGAGGGCTTCCAGCACATCGCTGGTCACCGCTTCGACTATGACTGCCGTTTTCTCAAAGTCGAAACGGGTGTCAACTAATACTGCTCCAACAATGCTTTCCAACACGTCGCTCAGTGCTTTCGGCGGGTCGTATTTCCATCCCTTGCTGATAGTGTCCTCAGGGGAGAGAGACATAAGTAAAGGAACATGTCTTGCAATTGCAGTGCTCAGTTCAACATTGTTGATGAGCAGATGTTTGTGAAGCCCGAGCCGTCTCACAGCGATAGAGGCTAGGGTTGGCCCGCACACAGCTCGCGAGCGAGCAGCTGACAGCTGACCTGAAGTGGCTTCAGGGAACTTGTTGAACAAATACCTCATGACGACGAGGTCAATGACAGCTTAGCAGATCATCAGTCGCTGGCTCAGAAGCGAAGCATCGAGTTTACTCACCATCACCCAGAAATTCCAATCGCTGGTAAGATGATCCAGCAGTAGTTGCGAAGGAAGGGTGCGTTGCGGCTTCAATTAGAAGATCGCCCCGATGAAACTCGTATCCGAGACTGGCTTGAAGGTCGTCGAAAAGAGGTGGCGCCGGCGATGGTTCCGGCGGACGAGAGTATCGCAGCGTCCAAGGAATAGTGCCACCCACGGTCATACCTAGGGCGTCTCCGGCACGGAGTGCCATGTCTATCCCACCATGCAGAAAGGCAGCGCCTAATGTTGCCTCCATGCAGTCCTGTAAGCTTCGACGAGGGTATGCTCGATGAACATGCCGTCTCGCAGAAGTGAAAGGCTCCATGCGATCATCATCATCTGCGATGGTATAGCGCCACACGTGGAGACTCTGACCCTCCGAGGTGAGGTACCTCTCAAGGCCAATCTCCAATGCCCTTGCTAGCAGAGTCCGATTGGACACACTGTTCTGGCGCAGCTGAGATAGCTGCCCCTCGTGCCGGTGGGGGTACTTGTTCATGACATGAACGGTCGCGGCAAGCTTTAAAACAGAGTCTCCCAGCGTTTCCAAACGCTGGTTGTTCCACGTTGCACTTGTCGTGGGCAAGGTCGACGCTTCAATGAGAAGCTCGTTCTTAACGGCAGGTAACCCTAACTCAAACCGTTCTTCTTGAGCGCGGTACAGGTCCGTAGCGCGGCGGCATATGCGTGGAAGGAAGAGGAATGCACGGTACACGTTTTCCGAGAAATGCGTGCGTCGACAGGCTCCTTGAGGGACAAGCAGTCCCGGGCGTGCCATTTGCCGCTTATACTTGTCAATGTCCTGTAAGCGATGCATTGGTCGATACAGACCAGAAGGATGACGTGGGAGGTAAGTGGCTTCAACCAAGGGACAGTCGGTCGGAACGACCGCTTCGCGGGTCTTCCTGGTCCATCTCTGTACGAAGAATTCTTCGTAGGTGGAGCAGGAAGACTCACGGGAGCCAGGTGGCGGTACAGATAGTGCTGTCAAGTCATGTCGTATCTTGCGCAGAACCAATGCTCGTCCAAACTGATTGCAGTTCATGATCAGAGTCTGATGATAATCGTCTTCAGTTACAGACGACCAGTCGCGCGTTCCTAGAGGGTCGCGGACAACACGCTCCACTGCGTCGAAGTCGATACAATTGTGAGGAGTCAGTGGAACGAGGAAACAAGTGATAGGGAGAGTGATAGGCCGGCCAGTGATGCAGAACCAGATGCCCATTTTGGTATACTCGTTGAGCATCTCCAATTTCTCCCATTCCTCGTCCTCGTCAAATACAAGTTCGTCAGTGCACCGCATTGTGACAAGACAGCCTTCGCCCTTGATCTCTAGCGTTGGTAACTCCGTGCCAGTGACGAGTCCTGCAACGTCAACGCCGTCGATGGAAATGACGTGCATCCTCAGTCGCGGCCCCAGAGCCCAAGGATCCCGCACCGGAACATCAATGATGTCGGGCACATCACTCACATCCAGAAGCTTTCTTCCGTCGGCATCCTCTAAGTTCCTACCCTTGGAGCTAGCTGACGGAAGAAGGTAGTCGTCGAATACCCCGAGTTTGTGAAGCTCCTTGACAGCCATGAATGCTACTGCGCGCCGGGCCTCTCGCTTGGAACATCGGGGTGGTCCGCGGAAGACCAATTTATCGATGGGAAGAGGAAGACTAGATGGCAGCTCAAGCACAGTGGCGTAGTCGCCGCTGTACTTTGGAAGTGGGGTGGGCGTGAATGCGTCATGGGGAATTAGGGAACAGAGATAGTTCAGTAGACTGATAGCAGAACCGTATGTGAGCACAGCACCCGTCGAAGGAACTATATAACGCTCGCGTGCGGCCAAATCAACTGGATTCTCCTCTTCTACTTCACCTTCTTCTGAGTCAGAAGGCGTCGGTGAAGGTGGCCGAGTAGGATTTTCTCTGCTCTGATAAACACGCTTGAGCTCGGGTTCGCTGTCAACAAAGATCTTGTAACGATTGAGGTGTGCCATGTGACCTTCCTGCACCATAATGACGAAAGTAGATGTTTTGGTGCGCGCCCGACCGCGCGATTGTACATACCCGACCATATGATGCAGCGGATCGAAACGAATAACGAGATCACAAGCCTGAGAGAAGATCAGCTAGCGTATGACAACAAAATGAAAATCCTTACCGGAAAGTCAAGACCTTCCTCAGCGACTGACGTTGCTATAACTGTGACGCACGCCCTTAGACCAGCATGTTGACAGATATGGAGATATTAACGCACGCAAGTTCAAAGTACCATCACGGAAGGACTTTACAACATCCTGCTGACGTGCGAGACCCATCCCCTTCACATTGGCGGTGGCCGCATGTTTGCCACGGTGCCCATGTCCGCCACCATGGCCAACAAGCTCTGCACATCGAATACTGCCTCGAAGCTCTGGTATGCACGAAAGGATTTTTGCCAGACAGGCCGCCACCTGCCGTTGCTCCACAAATACAATTCCCTGAAAAGTCGGAGAATAATGTTCGAGTAACACTTCTGCAAGTGCCTTGACTTTGGGTGAGCACCATGCGAGTGGTACGGTTATTGGTACGGCAGGAGGCATGGAATCATCTTCGAAGAAAGGTCGAAATTCACAGAGGATAAAGTCAATTTGCTCAAGGTCAGGAGGAATAACGATCTCTGACGATTCGTCCATGTCCATGTCAGGGTATGCGTCGTCGTCATAATTAATGCGTGGTTTGTCCTTGATTGACGCTTCTAGGTCATTGATGATCTGGGAAATTCGTGCTTTGATATCGTGGTATAGGTAGAGGTCGGCACAATAAGGACCCAGGCTGTTTCGGGTGACATGATACTTCATCTGAAGCTTCTCCCACGGAATAGCAACGTCAGGGGAGGGGAATAAGGATACGCAGTCCCACAGATTAGGATGCAGGTAGATGTAATTGGTAGGCGGGGGGTAGTACTCCTTGATGATCTGTAGAACAGTTCGTCAAGTCTTGTGCTGAAGAACTAGGGAGTAGAATACCTCAAGGGGACGGGGAGAGTTATGAAGTAGCTCTGACACATGCTCACGAACTGCAATGACGATAGCGTCGAGATTCTTCTCGAGTGTCATGAGAGATCCCTGAGCATCTTTTGGATTCCAAATTGGAGATGCAGTCATGCCAAACACCTTGGGGCGCTGGAACGATGGAGTTTGGAAGTATTCCCGCATGATGCCATTGTAAGCATGATTTTTCCTAGTGTGATGACACTCATCAAAGACGAGGAGAGAAACCTGTCTTACGCGTAAGAAAGGATAGTTTCAAAGGGAGGTTAGTTGAATACCTTGTCGATGCTCCAGTGCGAATGGGTGACTATGTTCAAGAATATTTGTGCTGATAACGTTACATCGATCATCAAAGGGAAGCTATGACGGAGATAATACATACCAGTCATAACGACGACGTCAGACTTCTCGAATGATGTCCTCCAGTTGGCACGATCCGTAAGCTCCAGATCGAGAGATCCATGAAACTTCTTGACTCGCAAAGGAGTGTGCGCGGCGATAAAGTTGGCCTGTTGTTCAACCAGAGCTACCTTGGGTACCAGAAAAACGATGACTTTGCCGCGAGCGCTCTCTTGTAACACGATCCATTTGATGAGCAAAATGCTGATGAAAGTCTTTCCACTGCCGGTGTCAAGTGCTGCAATGACATTACATTCTTGAGCGCGTTGAAAAATCTCCTCTTGATATCTTCGAGGGAGAATGGTCTCGTTGACGGATCGTATGGAGGACTCTTGAGTAATGGTCATTGTAATTGAAATGGATGGTGTTGGATATAGAAAAAGAAGGATTAACTACGCTGCATAATATATACAGGACGAGGCTGAAGGGAACGATATCGATGGCAGAAGTCACCTAATTGGTGATCACAATTATTGAAGACATTCGCCTCGGAAGGCATCATGTGGCCGTGGGAGATTATCCGGACCTTGCTCTATAGATTTGGGCTGATGTGCGAACTCATCTTCAGTGACAATGTCCGGAAGACCTCAAGACGATAGAAACCAGGAGGCTACTGTATATCTGGTACGTGTTCCGTTCAGCCTCATGTCACGAACTTCCATACTCATTCGTCGATGATAGGGTAATCTCGATGAACGGTGCACTGACGCACTCATTTGGGAGTTGATGCTGCAAGCAGGACCTGTCGGTGAGCAAGTCGTCTAATCTACCACCTATTTGAACTAACGGTATACAGTCAATGTGCATCTTCCAAAGGATCGTATTTCAATGGCTCATCAGGGGTACGGTTTCTGTGAGTTCTTGACAGAGGAGGATGCCGAGTATGCATGCAAAATCATGAACCAGATAAAATTATGGGGTAAGCCCATCAGGGTAAACAAGGTAAGTTATTTTGAATGTTGTTTCAGGGATTTATACTAATAACATATCTCACTTAGGCATCATCCGACAAAAAGCAACTGGATGTGGGAGCAAACCTCTTCATCGGCAACTTGGACGAGAACGTGGACGAACGGCTGCTATACGATACTTTCAGCGCGTTTGGTATGATGGCTACGACAGCAAAGGTACGTGCCCAGTGCGCGAACAACCCGCCGTCTTCATTAACAAAATTTGATAGATTGCACGAGACCCTGGCACGGGGCTTTCGAAGGGTTATGGCTTTGTCTCATACACCGACTTCGAGTCTTCCGACGCCGCAACAGAGTCCATGAATGGCCAGTTCCTCATGAACAAAGCCATCACTGTGCAGTATGCATTCAAGAAAGACGGCAAAGGCGAGCGTCACGGCACCTCAGCAGAACGTCTACTCGCGGCACAAGCACGGAAGAACAACGCGCTTCCCGTCGGCTCCCGCCCTCCTCCTGCGCAGATGGCTTTTGGTGCTCGTCCTCCTATGCCAGGGTTCCAGGGTCCTTATCAAGGGCAGTTTGCGGGCGTGCTCGCTCAGCCTCCACCTCCACCCGGTTTCAACCCGCCGCAGGCGGTTGTTCCACAAGGGATGCCAGTGATGGGAGGGATGCCACCTGTAGGGATGGGAATACCGCCTCCACCACCCAACATGTCCATGTTTCCTCCTGGAGCATTCCCGCCTCCGCCACCACCTGGTTTCGCCGTGCAAAATGTGCCTGGAGCTATGGTTCCGCCTCCTCCTCCTGTACCTCCTTATTAAGCAGTGGTAAAATTTTTGTGAATGTGTCGCTGATTTTGGAATAGTCTTTTTAAAAATCGGACTGTTTTCCTGTGTATGTCAGGTTCTCGAGCAACATGTTTGACTGCTGTGAGTTGAGTCTACTAAGCCTGGGCATATTTTGTGTCAATTGTTCTTACATGTATGGCTTCACATCTTTTAAAAGTTTTTCGACAGGCCGTCAACGCAACCCCTGGACCGCTCGGACATAGTATTCGTGACAAGGACATATCATTCATAAAAGTTATGTAGATCTACCGCAAGGGGTATAAATCGATATCACGCTGGGTATTCATCCTGTCTTGATCTTCTCTGCAACGCCTTAAGAGCCATCCGTGGCACTCCAGTATAAAAAAATAACTCATAGAACTCGCTCTTCTTCCAGATAAGCCCAAAGTTCTTCGCAGTCCGGGTGGAGAACAATACTGCGAGAATTGGCGCGCACAGCGCACGGGCGGATTCTGGGTCCATAGGACTAACTTTACCGCCTCCGAGGGCAGTCGAAATTACACTGTGTAACTCGGCCCAGAACGGCTGGGCGTGTGTGAGGGCGGATCAGATATCAGTAGCTGTCCAGCTATAGGGCTTGAGCTCATTGGGGGTCGTCAGTGTAAGCGGTGTGGGCTCCATGAATGAGAACATGTTCGTTATGAAGAAGCCGCCATTGGTAATGACCTGTGGTAGGCAAGGGTAGTTAGAGGTATGGAGACGGAAACCATGACCGGAAGCGATCACATACCATGGGGAAGATGCAATGACAGGGGATGTGTGGGCACTGGGTGACGACGGGTGGCGGTATAAGGCAGCAGAGGAGCATCGCGTGCGTAAATCCGTCGACAATGGATAAAGGAAGCTCGGTGCTGAGTGACATAGACGGCAAGACAGTGATATACTCTACAATCGCTTGTGCAGCGATGTACAATCTGGGAGAAACACCCGAGAACATGAAAGATGGCATGATACCAAGTAGAGAGCCCGCGCATAGGGAGCGGTCAGTATGTGCAGCCCCGACATCTCCCTACACAAAAAAGTTAGCTAGTACCTATATATGATAGCCTCCTCCAAATACAATCGTCAGCATGGCACATGTGTCTCTCACGAAGGACCTCTCCTCTGCACACTAGTGCGAGTCTATTCTCTCCAACAGTTCGCTGACAGTGTTTGGCATGCAGAATTTCCCTCATCTGTCTCAAAGCGATGCAAAGCCTGAAGACGGCTACCAAGTCGGGGGAGCAGACCTTGGCACCGAACCAGCTAAATGGTGCTATTGGTTCAACAGCATATCGATACAGAAAGATGAATGGCTGGAGAGACATAACGGTGCGAGAACGGAAGAGAGAATCCCTGAACTTAGCGCCTGAAGCGCTAAATAAAGGTCGACAGTCCGCTGGTGGCCAGACACTACTACTCACGGTGTTTACGGCCCGGTTGCTCCAGCTCACTATGGACCTCCAAGATCCACTACAAGCTAGACTTCTGCTCTTACTCTGCATTGAACGGCGGAAGCACCTGCTTCCTCTTGATGGGCCACACCTCCTCCATGGTCTCCGCATCCCATATCCGCCCACCACGGATGACATACCTGATATTCCGCGTGTGACGGATATCATCCTGCAACAGGTCAAAGCCAGGCGGGAAAATGACGAGGTCTGCAAGTTTACCGCCCGAGACGGACCCGAGGCTGTCAAAAAGACCAAAAGTGATTGCGGCATCTGCAGTTGCTGCGCGAATCACCTGAAACGAGGTCAAGTTAAATCAGACTCAACAAACAAGTGTGATGTAGGGGAAACAAACCTCATAATTGCTCAGCCCGCCTGCTTTGGCGTAGAACATCTCTTGATGGTACATGAGTCCAAGAGGTGGCTCACCGTGCGCCCCGATATGGGCGCGCAGCCCTCTATGCACCATATTCGCAACGGATGCAGAAACGTTCCATAGTGCCATAGCTGGGACGAAAAAGTCAACCGGCTTGTCACTAGGTATGAATACACGTGAAGCATACAATTGAACGGCCGGCTTGTGCTCTCTGAGACCCCTTCGAGGATGTCGTGCCGTGTGTGCGTGCGGAGTCTGATAGCGAGTTATTGAGCGTACGTAGTTAAAGGCTGAAGCAGAGACATACTTCGGGTCGTTCGGAATATCCTCTGTTGCCCAAAGATATTGCTCTCCGAACATGCCTCCATAATCGACGATATGCGTTGGAGTAGATCCAGTCCCGCTCATCGTATAGAGCGTAAGGATATCATCATATAGGACGGACACAGGGATATTATGCTCGATCGTTGTCATCCCTAGTCTAATCAACAACTACTCTAGGCTTAGAGTCGAACACTTACCATCCATAATATACGTCAAATCCCAATCATAGTTCATTCCCTACGATTGCAATCAGTGGCCCACTCAACCGGACCAGAAAACAGACGCTTACACCTTCGGGCACACACAGCATCCCCACTTGACGTGCAGCTGTTAATAACCGTTGTCTTGCAGCCCTTGTTGGCAAATTGTAGTTCTTATAGCTCCAGCTCGCATCTCCGCCCTCAGCCTTGATCCGTATAAGTGCTTCACGCGCCTCGCGCATGCTTGCAATGTCCTGATGGATGCTGTATTCGGATGCACCATATATGACTGTACCGGTATGGAAGAGCCGTGGGCCAGCCATAAGTCCGGACTCAATGCGTCCGCGCTCGACGTAGCCGAGGGAATTATGTAAGCTTGGGCTGTAGGTTCGGGAGGTCAATGAATGTGTGGAGAGAAAATTAAAAATCACGCACTTGTGTAGTGTAGTCACGCCATATGCAAGGAAAGTCTGCATCTCCCATGATGTTGCTGGGTACTTGTCTTCGGTGCCAGCCCAGTGTGCGTGTGAGTCAATGAAACCTGGAATGACGTACCCTACGCGTCACGCAACATCAGCTTTTTTCCACAGATTATAGATGAAACCACCGACCGCCCTCAGCGTTGATTTCAAATGCCCCCGGTAGTCCCTCGCCAACACCCGGGCCGCCAACGGCCTCCACGACTCCACTCCGAATGACAACGCTCGCGCCTAGTCTTAAATCCTGCGTGAGTACGCCGTTCTCCATACTCAAGACTGTCGCATTGTGGATGACGACCACATCAGCGTTGCTCTCTGTTGAAATTGATCTCTGTGGGCTATCCGCTATTGAGTTGCGCGCCTCGCTGGACAACCGTTGTACATCAGGGGTATAAACAACATCCACTGCTGTAACATCCAACAAGCCTCGGACACAGTCGATTCCGAAGTTAGATGTGTCAGCTTCGATTGCGCTCGTGCATGAGGGAAGGAGGGAGAGCTGAAGAGTATGGAGGTATGGACCTAATTCGTATAGCAGTTAGCTAGGTCACAGTGGAATACGAAGAATTTAGGAGAGAAACGAACGCACCAAGGAACCATCCAATCACACTTCCATCACTACTAAACACGACATCATGACCACCGTCTCCACTCAGACGCGCCAAGTTTTTCGGTGCCTTCCCAGGCTTGGCCCACATCGCTTTCTCAGAATCCACCGAGGAAGGTGACACATAATATACGTGAAATAAGCTGACAAACGCCGCGCCCCCTGTTGCTTGGTTATGTCCAGCAAGTCTTGAAGATATCGAAGGCACAGATCCAGATAGTGAAAAAATGAGCTCATCAGTTTCCTTCCCCCGAACAACCACCTCCTCAGCACCGTCGGACAATGAGACCCGAAGTACACTGTCAGATTGCTGAACGAGGACTTCACTAGACTTGCCATCCACGAACGACAGCTTGAAGACATCAGAAGGGTCGATGCTACTTTGGACGTAGCGCAGGTTGGTTAATTCGACCGTGCCTTCGGAGCAGGAATGGGACGGAAGCGTGATCTCTCCGACCCAGACTCCAGTTTGTGCAGTAGCCACCACGTTACCGGTCAACACATCCCCACCCGTCTTCACCAGCACAACTGTCCGCACACCGTTTTCCATGGATCCACTTACGATAGCACCAAACCACCGTCCCATGGGGAGTCCAGCGACCTCCCGCACTTGTCCACTCTTCAGATTTGCCAGCTCAAGGGACGAGAAATATGTATTATCCCAGCGTGCGTGCAAAACGAAGGTAGACGCGGGAACGAAGGAAGGTGAGTAGTATCCTGCGGAGGGGTGCAGGTGCGGAATACGCTGGGCAGGCGTTGAAGTCCGAAGAAAGTTGGTGTCATCGACGGGGTCCAAGGTAGTCGGGTCGATGAAGGAACCCCCAAGCACCTGCACCCATGTCTGGCCTGCGCCTGCAAATACTGCATGCTCGCCAGATTCATCCAACGCGAGCTGGGTGAAGGCACGCACGCGCTGCGGGCCTGATTCAAACTTGCGCACATCTGTCTTCACACGCCGAGTTTCTGCCAGCTTCTTAGAGATTTTCGCTGTGAACGGGATCACCTTTGGCGTAAGGTCTGCGTTGTTGGTGGCTCTGGTCGCTGCGACAAGTTCCCCCTCTGCGTTGTGCGCCAATGGGACATGCCAGATCTGCCCAGCAGCCCAGATAATGATGCCCGGCGAGGACGAAGAAGGCGTGAATGCAAAAGACGGGTATGTACCCATCGGCGCGTAGATTGTCGAGAGGTCGTAGGTGAGCCCGTGCCAGATATGATGCAGAGTGCCTGTGTTAAGATCCCTGTTATCGAAGGAATGTCAGTTAAGTCAAGTTATAGGACATAAATACAAGGATATAGATGTAAAAGCTGTGGTGATCAACAGCACTGGGGAGTTTACACAAACTCAAGAACACCATAAGTAAATCACTACTCACTTGAGCACGAGTGCTTCCTTGTCCCTCACACGGCGCACGAACGCAAGCGTGCGTCCATCACGCGAGAGTATAGGCCGGCTTGCACCACCAGGGAAGGCGTCAATGAGCGTCTTTTCCACGCCCGTCGTCAAGTTGCGCTGGAAGATTGCGTAGATACCCCGATGGACATCTGCATGCACATGAGGAACAAGTACATAGCGCATGGATGAAACAGCGAATGCTAACGCACCTTTGGAATATGTGTAACTGCCATCAACATCCCTCACATTTCCGGCATAAATCAGCGCATCATCGCCCGCCCATATGAACTGTTCGTGTCCGATCTGCTGCTCTACGTAGTCCGCCTTTGTCCACCCCATAGGTAGGCTCTTTGACACCAGACGCTTTCCTGCGCCTGCCTCGACCTGCGACTGGGCGTGGACAGCGGGAACGGGGAACTCCCATCCTTCGCCAGCTCCAAGCGAGCGTGAAGAGTAGTACCATTTCGTTGCGACGACCTTATCCCCTGAAGGATGCCAGCGTGGGTCAGACACCCAGTTGTACGTCTCATTCGTGATGCGCTGCGCTATACTTTCATGAGCATCCTGCCTTGGCGGAGAAGTAGTAATGTATATTGCTCACCATTTACCCTTCCCTCCCTTGTCAATCTCCTCAATTTCCTCTCGCCTGTCTCCTTCATACCTCGTGCGAGTTGCTCCTCATCGTTGATCTTCAGCTCAAGTTCATGCGATGAGCTGACATGCGCGCGGACGTCCATGGCCGTGCACCCGTCCTCTGCCCAGGGCATCACCCACAGATTGTCAGCGCCGAGCCCCGCATCGCTTTTGAATGCGAGCTTGTCGCCTGCAGGTGAAAATCGCGGATCCGCATCGTGTGGGACACCTGTGAGGACTGGCACCGCTTCTGTTCTCCCTCCTACTCTTCCAGTAGCTCCTAGATACGCATCACCCGGCAGGCAATATATATCCCCTGCCATGTCAAATACGATATCCCCACTCACGGGGTTCACGTCGAGTCGCAACCATGTACCTTCTGTCACCTCGTAGGATAGTGTGCGAGGGTAGGGGAAGTCCACAGAGATGTCCCAGGGTTCATGTGCACGTAGAGGGAAGTCGTCGTCTGCAAACTCGGATGCGGGGTCGTCCAGCAAGGCTCCAGAGTACTTGGTATGAAGAGGTGGAGCCACAGGGCGGCCGGGGAGAGCGAAGTGATAAACCCATGATGCAAGGCAGAGACATGTAACCAGTTTCACAGCTGCTAGTTGTAACCGACGGGATTTCGTTTGATGGCTAGTAATATGGCGAGTCGTGTAGTATGATGGGACCTCCGAGTCTTTCGTGACTGCTGGCGCTTTCTCCGAGCCAGTCTGGAGCACCATTTTCACTTCCTCAGAACCGACGTCTGAGTGAGTTGAACAAACGAGCTTGAAACGGGATTAATGTGGTTTATACATGGGCGCTTAATTCATAAGGGCTTCCGAAGTAACGTCAGTCTGTGCACGCGGTATGCTCACATGCGACAGCAGCATATGCTGACATGAGAAAAAAAAGCACCCATCATTCGAATTCAATTCAGTCACATGTAAAGCAGTAGCGTAGATAGCATGGACCTCTCGGATAAACAAAAAAAAAAAACAGGAACTAGGACTTTGTCAACGCACGAATAAAAATACAGCTTATGAAGCCTCCTGTTCTGTTCCCTCGGCTTCTTCTGCAGGAGGAGCAGGTTCCTCTTGTGCAGGTTCGTCCACCCCCTCGGATTCTTTCTCTACAGCTTTCTCTTCAGCTTTCTCTCCCACCTTTTCCCCCAATTTCTCACCCTCCTCACCCTCCTCAACATCCTCCTTAGCACCTTTGCTGCCAATGACAGTGGCATTGATTCTGGCCAGTGATAGATTACAAAGGGAACCACCAAAAACTCGCTAATAGAACTCACGTTAACATGACATGCACTTTTTCATCTTCCTCCTCTCCCTCCAACTTGGGCAAATTCACAGTGATGCGCTTGCTCGCTTTCCATCCGAAGCTCCCAGTAGAAAAGCTCGATGAAGCGAGTTCTATAGCCTCCACGAACCCAGGATCCGTCGACTCAACGTCAGTGGGAGGCCTAGTGTGTGAAATGTTAACATGTAAGGGTTGAGCACGCGACTTGAACGCAGTAGCACCCATCCCCGTCTAGTCATACTACACAGTGAGAATTAGGGGCTGAGGTATGCGGGGGACACAGACCTTCAATCGAGCTGCGCCCTTCCTCCCGGTGCCCTTGGCGCTCTTTCGACCCTCTGTTCTGGGTACCTTGGCACTGCGCGTCTCGCGCTTCTCGGTGGCAGATTCTTCTGCAGCTCGTTTTCTTCCTACAGGCACATTATATAGGAGTTGTTGTGATGCATGCAATAAAATCGAACTCACCAGCCATAGTTATAGAACGGGAGATGTTGTAAAATGGGTGTTAGAAGTCAAGAAATATGAGCTTGAAATTGTGGATCCCGAATCGTCGCGTCTGTTTATATCGTTGTCAATAAATACCACAGGTGGGCGCAAGGTGGACGTGTGACGTCACGCGCGTCGTCACGTCCCGTTGAATGCGCTTTGACCAGGTGCCACAGTTGCCACAGACAATAAACATCTTGCAACGTTGACACTTGGTTGACTCAGTCGAAGAGCATGCTGGACAAAGCACAGAGATCTGAGGGACTGCACCACACAATAAATGCATTGATCAAACGAACAATAGGATACAACTACATAGGTTGAAACTACTCATCGGCGAACAACAGTATGACACCACTCGCATGTAGTAGTTCATACGCTCCAAGAACCGTTTACCTGAGATAACTATTATCAGGAAATTCCATGAAATGTGAAGGGGAACGGACCTTTAGACCAAGTACTGGCGTATAACAACTGAACTGATGACCGCATGCAGAAACTCGCGCAACCCGGTCCTGCTGTTCTCCCCTTACCTCCCCTGCCCCCGCCCCGCCCGACGTGCCATCAGTGGACGGGGCTCCGAAGAGCCAACCATAACGTCAGATATCATCATCATCGCTGTAAAACTCGTCTTCTTCATCATCAAGGGCCGCAAGGTTTGTCAGGTCGACTTTGTAGCGAAGCAAGCCGCCTATTCCACCGAAGCCCTTTACGAATTGCGCACCCTCCTGCGACCGATTGGTCACAAACTCGAGGTTTGCTCCAAACTCCTTGTACTTCTCGGCAAACCATTCAAGGAGAGACTGAGGTTCAATGACATGTTCCATTTCTAGACCAGTGGATTTATCCAAAAATCTCTCGCGATCTTTCTCCTGTTCCTTGTTTGCGTGAATGATGATCTCCTCTGACGTTATCCATGAGTTATCCAGCGATCTGCAATGATAACAAACGTCTTACCTCCTGCAGCATTGCGGAATACATAACGTGTGATATCCAGGTTTTCCCACACGATCAGAGTCTCGACCGCGCCTAGATCCAGCGCCTTCAACGTGTCATCAATACCAAAGCAGTACTTGTTCGTGTCTTGGCTGATTTCGTCGAAATACTTCTGGATAAGCCTCTTCTCTTGCACGAACTTTACATTTGCCAGCGCATCTGCTGCAAGCTCGATAGCCTGCGTTTCAATTTTAGTCATCACGTAAAAGCACGAGAACACTTGAACCGACCTGATTGAAACCATTCTCACCACCGTAACTCACATCTACAACCTTGATCACCTTTGCGACCAAGCGTGGGTCAAACATGTCACTCTGACTGAGTTCTGTCTTGAAGTCGGCGCTTCCCGCAAGAACGAGTCCAGTCACATTGACTTTGTCGTTCGTGATGAAGTGCTGCACAGCGTGCTCGGCGACTTTTCGAACGTAGTTATGGCGCTTTTCATCACGCAGACGGGAGAAACGTAGCGCAGACTGACCACCACGGCCATGCTTCTTAGGGAGATCGACAGTGAATTTATGAACGATATCACGAGTATTGCCTGAGAGTGTACCGAAGAGGGTGCCGTTACCATCCATGACGATGAAACCAAAGCGAGAGTCGGACTCGAGAAGCTCGGATAAAGCTTCAGTGTGGAATTTGTTATCACAGAGGTAAAGCGACCTGTTTCATGCATAAGATCGAGGTCATGCATCCGATGAGATACTTACGTATTGATCGGTTTGTGAGGTTCAAAGTCGAATGACACCTTCTTCTCCTTACCTTCGTCGGTGAGGATGGTGCCCACGAAAAGGACAAGACCGTTTGGCGGGACTCGGTTGTACAACTTAAGGCGCTGCTGGGTACTGGTGATAGCTGCAAGAACAGACAATCTGTTCACCCGCGATTTGATGTTACTTGCAGTACCGTATTCCTGCGTCAACATAGCTGAGGCACGAGATATTTGATCCTGTAGCAGGTGGACTGAAATGAGCGAGATGGCAAAAGGGGCGCTGAGATCGGCATACCTTGGGAGGAATAATCAAGCTGATCATTGATGTCCCCGCTCTATACAGCACGCGATCAGCATCCATCGCTGCTGATTCGATGAAATTACGGAGACACACCCGCGTGCGGAGTCCAAGCTCTTGATGAGTTTCTTTACTTTCCACATCTGAATGTTCTGCTCTGCGACATCTTGACTCATGATGGGCAGATCTTTCTTCTGAACGTTTTGATATCGATTTTCTGTTGACGAAAATGTGAGTGGGACGCCTTGGATGTCCCGTACGTTCAATTTGAAGCCTTATGAAGGACTTTAAACTTTTTCACCGGGTGGTGGCGGATTTAGGGTAGGCTGCCTCAAGGCTGCCTTCCAATGTGATGACTTCGCCGAGTACTTGCACTTCCAGTACCCTGACTCAATTCTTTCACCAATCGAGTCATTGAGTGACATTTGCTGGTGCTATCTAGTCATATAATTCTGCCACTGGTCCACGCGGAAGCGAACCGCCATTCATCTCAAAGGCTTTGTCTCACCTCGCCATGAGCAGCACAGCTGGAAAGCGCAAGTCAATTGTCCCTCCTACCGATGACAGGAAAAGAGTCAAGCTACAAGGCGGAGCCGTTGCCATGGCTAACTCCAAAAAGGGCAAAAAGGACAAGGACACCAACAGTGGACAATCGGGGTCGTCGGCGACCAAGAGCCCTGCAACCACATCGCAACCAGCAGCTCTTAATAACCGTCCCAAAATCCGGAAACTCGCGCCCCCACGGCCATTCCCAACAGTTGCACCGTCCGCACCTGCCACAGCACCGCGCTCTTTGCATACCGAAGGCAAGAATAACATCTGCGTCACGCGACGTACCAAGCTAGCCGCTTATCTGCGACGATGCAAGGCTCTGATCCTCGAAGATGGGTTTAAAGAGATTCGATTGAGCGCAATGGGTGCTGCTATCCCGCATCTCTCGCTTTTGGCCATTTCTCTGCCTCAAATAGTGCCGGACGAGCTGAGCGTCGAAGTGCAGACGGGTAGTGTGGAGGTTTTTGACCAGATGCTTGAAGGAAGCGAGAATGAAGATAGTGGTGACAATGACGAGGAATTCAAAACAAGGGTCAAGTCGACAATGAATGTCGTCATTCACGTCGGAGGCTCAGGGGAACCCAAGTTGATAAGTAATCCCGCGAAAGGATCAGCGACAGATTCTGGCCAAAGCGATGGGAATATTCAACAACCGGAGCAGATTGTCCTGCAGGAGCCTGAACAGGAAGACATGGACCAGTCATAACATCAATCATAGTAGGAAGCTGTCGCCGCATCGTGTTGGTTATCGCTCATGAGTGTCATAGGTTACTTGTAGTCCAACTTTGCCCATCTGTTTGAAGAAAATATTGGCGTTGCCTGGCTATGTCTCACCGTGTAACGTGCAACCGTCCCAGATTCTGTTGGGATTTGGTGATGGAATACGTTCACGCATTGCACGGAGCGACACGCCGTTTTGATCGCAATATCACCCCCCGCCGTATGTATCAGTTGTTAACAGCGCTTATAGTGAGTGCGCTCGCGTAATATGTACTGGAACCTTCGTTTTCTCGTTGCCTCCCACTTCAATGAACCTAACGCACATGACTGCATTTCCGTCTTGCTCTGGTAGCGCATTGCAGCTATTTACAGATCGATATAGTTGGACTTCTCACTCTTCCCAATGAACGTGAAATTGATACATCGGTCTGCAAATACTTTGTGCCGCATGGTTCTAATCACCGATTTGACCTTGAGAGGTTACTGTAGATGCATTGCAACATGCGGCGCGATACCCTTGACCTGGACCTACGAATAATGAACCCTCGCTAGATCGTGCGTACCCCTCCATTCTAACCCTATTTATCATTTGATCTCCAGGATCAGTAAATTAGCGCATAACCTCACTACTCCCCCAAACCATTCTTAGAGCGTTCAGTTGGCCTACATGCCCGCCAGCAGGAGCTAATTTACGCAAGCACACGCGTGTCTCTGACAAAGGCCATACTCCAACGGGCAATCGACAAGACCTCGAAAAATTACGAGGTCGAACAACCGATTTTAGTAAAAAATGCTGAAATTCTACGGACGGTAATTCGTTAGGCATGTCATGCTGTAAGAGTGGATAACCGCTGTCTCGGTAAGAAGCATCCTCAATTTTTTTTATGTTTTATCATGGTCACTTTTTGTTCTTTTCGCAGTGTAAGGGTTGTTCAGAAGTCATCACAAGATACGAAGAGCCATTTTTGACATCATTGCTTGATCATTGCTAGCAGGGTTACTATAAATATTGTACTTCCCGCGATTGTCCAGGCCTGGACGCGAATGACAGCATGATTGGAATACATTCGATGAACTGAAAGATCCGGGTGGTCAACAACGCGGAGCAACAAAATAAGTCAACCGACACTATCGCGCTCTTTGATGACACTGTTAGTGCATTTGAGTTACATTAATGACACTTCGTCTGGCAAGCTCGAAGCTACTAGGCCAACTAAAGGCAGGTATGCATGAGAACGTTTGATGGGCTTCTATCCTGTTGAGTTCCTTCACCCCGCGCTCGACTAGCTGTGACTTCGTGCTTAAAATACATAGTTGGAGAATGAAATATAAATAGTTTACATTGCAAGATTGCGCCTCGCAACACGGTCATATAAGGTCATGTAATGAGGGTCTTATAATAAGGGTCAGTTCAGTTCTAGACTTGGTGTACATTGTCCGAAGCATCAAATGAGCTTTGTGCGAGGTAGTTAGATCGCAAAGAGCACATCAGAGCGACAACTTGCCTCAGATCACATGCAGTATCGCAGTGTCAGGGGGTTTCTCGGCCTAAACTAGTCCTGCCTGCCAACAGTCTTCTCGCCGCAGGTGGCGGTTGAATAAGTTCTGCACTAAATTTACAACATGATAGATATGTCACCGGCAGGCAAACTGATAGCATGACTCATTAGTGGGCGGTAATGAACAACACAATGAGCGGCACACATACTTGTAATCAAGGAAGCATATACTTGTCGAAAGTGAGATAGGGGTATATGTGAAGGTTTATACGTAAGAATTATCGTTTATTCCCGGTGGTTGCTGCGGAAAGCTTCATATGAGGGTGAGCATTGCAAGCTTGTACGCACGGTAGGTGGACGAAAAGAATGCTTTCGCAGCTTCTTCACAGTCAAACTGTGATGGTGTCAACTATGAGTTCAGCGCTCAGGCCATAGTGATGACCGCAAGTGACAAGTATGTGGCGACTTGGGTCCTGTCATCCGGGCCCTGCAACTATCTGTGTGGAAAATTCCCGCTGTACCGATGCGGCCATGCTAGCGCAAATGAGAAGCATTGAAAGAGGACTACTCGTCTGACGAGACTGCAGATCACAATGAAAAGATCGTTGAACTTTGATTCTTGTGAAAATCTTTGTATACATATTCAATCATTGAATCGATGAACAAGCTTCCAAATGGTACATAATATTTAAGAGAGCTAGATTCACACAGAAAGCATGAAAGTAAGAAAAGAGAGTGGAACGTAAGTAACGCGGATTCATGTATCATCGATCAATCTCCAATTATCGCAGCGCCTCAAGTCTCTCAGTGAACGAGGAGCTCAGCCCCATGCTAACACCCAGCCACGACCTCTCTATTTCGCTTTCTGCAACATGTGGAATTGTGTCTGCCTCCAGATCAGACAGGTGGTCGCACGATGAGAGTGACGGCGAGAGCGAAAACGATGAAGTGGGGGACCTTACACCACTAAACTCCTCGGCAAGCTCCGACGCTGTGCGAAGGATAATCTGCGGCGGTAAAGCCAATGATTGGGTGGGAGACGCAACCTGCGCAAATGATGACGAAAAGTCTAGCGTTGGCAGAACGAAGTTGTCCTGTACGTCAGGAGAGGGCGATAACCCAAGCCCATAGTCCCAGTCATCCGAATCAAGTTCGATGTCTGAACAGACGTCAGCATCTTTGCCAAGGTCCAGTTCTGACAAGGATGCTGAATCGAGCTCGATACTAGAAGCAACGGACTGGGGATCTAATAAAACCTCTTCGTCCTCGATGGCACTCGTCTGCGAGGAAGTAGACATAGCGTCTGAGTAAACTTCATCGAGAGTACACCATCCTTGTCCGCTTTCTCCAGTAACGCTGCGCACTTGGGCAGCTGTCCAACCTGCAAATGTGACCCGAAGTATCGTGCACTGTTTATCGCTCGGATTATCTCCTAAACCGGGACCAAAGGCGTAGGCATCAACGCCAACGCCAGGATCATCCCACACGTTCGCAGTATCCAATCGGGAAAAAAGAGTGGACACACGAAGCGAATGATTACGATGCATCCTATGCGCAGCAGCAATTTCAGGTACAGGAAGAAGCGGATGGAGTGAGCTAGTTCCCACGGTGGAATGTGCAGATAGGGGCAGACGAGCGGTGGGAGTAGGCGCGATAGGAACGAGAAGGTAAGTCGTCACTTCCGGCAAAGCAGGTTGCGGCATGTAATGGTCAAGTTCAGAGATGTCGACTTCGGTGGGGATTTGAGCAACAATGAGCTTCGGCTTTGGCTTGAGCATTTCCTTGGACTTTGGGGGTGCGACATTTTCCTTAACTTTGCGCAATTTGCGTTCCTCCTTCTTCTTCGCCTTGAGTTCCCATTCAGCCTCCCAAAGTGCGCGGGTGGCAATAGGAACATTATCCACAACATTCTGGAATATGGGGCGCGCAGAATGGAATGAACGAACAGTGCCAAGACCAACATTAGCTACATTCCCGGGGATGGGAGGCGGGCGAGGAAGGCGTGGCAAAGATAAGGGGCGGTAAAGCGCATTTCTCACAGGGAGCGAGTACGATGCTTAACGCTCTGAGCAGTAGAATGGAAATGTGCAGGACGGACGAGCGAGTGACTCGGAGCGACTGCAACAGCTGAGGTGGAATGTGCAAGTCCTGGAGTAGTTAAATGAGCAAAGAATCTGGAGACAAGGTTACGAGAGTTTGTGAAAATTCGTTGAGTAGTGGACGCTTGGGGCGTTCGTAGTGGTGGTATGAACGCAGAGCTATGAAGTGATCGAGCAGGACCTGCCCCAGGGGCATAGTGTTTGGTCCCGCCGATACCTTGTCTAAGGTGACGAGTGCCGTGCGATACAGCAGACATCGTGAAGAACTATCAGTTAGCAATGCTAGCTAATAGTCAAGGTCAATGTTGCAGGTTAAGCTAGTTTAAAGCCGTGCTTGCTGTTATAACCGATTCGTGTGCCGGAGGAACACGCATTTGCTGAGTAAGCAACTCCAGAGTCGGCATGGGCATTGCTTACGGTAATAATCGATCACGTGGTCGTGATTTTCTTGACGCGACCATGATGAACGCACAACAACCTACCGTGCCTTCAGCCTTACTTCCCGAAATTCTTGAGTTTTCCCCTCAGCTCCTCCTCGACGACATTATCAACTATGCTAACGAAGCAATAACAAACACCGTTGATGCCCTAGAGGGCTTCCTGTTTCGCTGGGCATCCGAGCGAGAACAAAGGATTAAAGAGGATTGGGATAGCACGCAAGAAGTGGAACAGGGCCTTGTCGCTTTCCAAACACTTCTGGAATCCCACACGGACATTGCATTTGACTTTTTCGAGACATGGTCACTTCGTAACATATTCGCCATTCCTGCCGATCTTCCCGTCGTCGTCCCTCACCAAGAGAACCTCGATCTCGATTGCCCCCCAGAACGTGAAACAGAGCTCATGACGGAGATGGATGACTTACGAAGAAAAATAGATGCTGTACGCTTCCAAGCTTGTCATCGAATCCGCCTGTTCTAATGGTGTGCAGCAACGTCGCTTGAAGCGTTTGTTGACTCGTGCAGTCCGCTTGTCTTCAGCAAAACGCCGTCGCTCCGAACGTCGCCTGCAACAACTCTCTTTCCTTCAAGCACCCCAAGTTTCTGAACTCATGAGCCTTCCAGAACAATACCGCTCGATGTTCTCAGCAATATCGTCCCTTCCGCCTCTTACACCTGAAGCTGTCGCTGCCTTTTCGCAATCGCCATTGGCAGACCCTGGCAAACGGCCTTGGGAAGTCAGTAAGATGGGTTATCTCGACTGGGCCAGCAAGCAGGTACTTGCCAAAGCACAGCAATCTGATGGTGGTGCTGGTAGCTCAGTAGTAGGATCGCTGGTGGAATCCACTGCCGCGGTAGCGAAGACTCAAGATCTCAGGCGATTGATAGAAGTAAACTCCGCCTTAGACAATGCTTGATCGCCACGGCGGGCGGACCATGACACCATTACATGTCATAATTTGTAGTGAAAGGATGAGTACTGTATTATGGGGAGGTAATATGTACAACAAATCATGGCTTTCTTTGGGAAGAGCTTTAAGAAGCTGTTTCGATGCGACAACTATGTAGGCCACTTAGTCAAGTGTCACTTGATACGGGCCCGGCGTTTTCTCCAACTTCGCTCTCATGAAGACTAGTCGTCATGATTGCGAGACGATATCACGCATAGACATGACATCTCAAGCAGCAGCGGCGGCCATCCTCGACTCAGCCATCCTAAATATTCTATGCGCTCATAATTTCTCGGTCATCGTCACAGGCATCTGTCGTTCTTACCAGCCCCGTTCCTTGCTATCTTGTCCTACTATCTTCTGTCTGTGACAGCTACGCCGAACATTCAGGACACTCACGAATATCAGTATGGGATGTGTTGAGCTCGTTAGGAGACCTAGGTGTGAACCCGGACAAATTAGATGCGTATTGTGTTTCTGAATGGAAGGACCTGGGGAGGTATGCGAGCAGCAGTGCCAGGAGACTCGACGATCTCTTAGAATTCAGAGGTATCTTTCACAAAGTCTCCTATTCGCCGTTTGTTAAACACAGTTGTTATTAAGGGTTGCTATCTGCAGGAGGGCCGCGAAGGCGACATGATACCTTTTCTCGATCCGCAACCTTTGTTGGGCGATTTTGACGACTATGATGACTTATTATAACCTTCAACACCGTTTCCGATTGCGTGACACAAGTCAATTACTCAGAGTCTAGCCTAGCTTCCACGTCAGAGTGGCACCTCTCCTCATGCCCACTAGCTAGCGCCGTCTCCAAAATAACACCCACCTCACCTTCCAATCCCCAAAACAGCACAAGCGCTCCAAACATCCCACTATATCCTCATGCACCTCGTCCCCTCCCGGCCCACCAAACCCCTTCAAGCACAAAGTTGCGACGACGTTCCTGTCCCAAGCACAAAACAATCCACGGTGGAACCCTCTGGATACGCCATACGCCAACATTGCACTATGCCCACCTCACGTCACAGTCATCGGCCCTTCCTACCCTGTCTCGCAGTCGACTCTGGACGACATAGGTGCAGGAAAAGGCGAAAAAGAGTCCAACAACAAACCTATATTCCCTTCTGTCCCACCCTGCCTTGTTTTTTCCGCAGAGAAACCCATTTTTCTCGTGCCTCGGCGTTTACCAGATCTCGCGCATCAGATCTTGCTTGTAAGTCGTCATTTGTACATTTGTTTCATGTCTCATGACGGCACCGCTATAGCCATCAGTGCTCGCACGCACCACGCGTCTCGCACATCCACCCGTATTACGGCGGGGTAACCAGAAACTCTATCATGTCACCGGTATCAGGAACTCATCTGCATCAGGGGCGCCTACAGGCAGGAAAGGTAAAAACGAGGGTACAGCCAACGGACGCAGCAACGAACCTCCAACATTCATATTACCCGACTCGGACGCACGAATGTTCGCTACGTGGGATTTCGAGGCAAAAAGGCCGCAAGAGGCGTTGGTAGCACACAGTGGGGAGAGGCGTACCTGTGTCTGGAGTGACGCTTTCCATGTGGAATCGTAAAGGGTAGGATAGAGATGGTGTAGGGTCTCGTAAAGCCGATACTATCCCATTTTGCAAAATGTTTAAAAAACCGAATTCTATCATCCACATGATATCCAATTTTACAGGAGGGAACGATGGTGATGCGTAAACTCCTTATGATGGAGCGACAGTATTTTCTTGTTTATATAGCGAACCTCATGCATGTACAACTTTGGGAGTTTGAACAATTCAGGGAGTGCATGGGCATCTGCAAGTTGTAGTACAAGCTTGTGGCTGTGCGGTCTCACGCCTTCTGGAGCGCCCATTTATTCTTGAACTACTCGCTACCATATTACAGTGCATGTTGCATATGGAATCGGTAGGCGGTGCGTATGCACCAAGTCCCCGACTCCTGTTTCTGATCATTTTCTAATTGCCACTCGTTCACTGTGCACTTCAAGCTCCTCTATACGCTTGCGCCGTGAGGTATTTACCTGAAATCATCCTGTCCTCCCTCACTCAGTCCAATTCCTGTAGCAGCACTGGCCCCCTGTGCCGCTCGTTCACACTGTACATTGGCGTTTTTCCTTGCATGATCCGTGGGGGCGGTGCCAGCACTCATGGCTGTGATTTTTGTTCTCAGAGTATATGTTCATTCTTCGCCCATCTTGTGGCTCAGGGTCAGGATCATGATGCGTACGGAAATGAGATACGAGACACACAGTGATCGAAATGCCAAGTCTCCTGGAAGGCCAAGGTAAGGACAGAACATTCTAGAATGTTGGCGATAAGCAGTGCCCCCTTCCAAGCTAACAGGATACATGTGACAGTGATATATCAGCTCCGTGATGAGATTGGCGATGCTCGACAGATACGCATGACATTGTCCGCAATCTGGCAAACATTTCATCGCACAGGCTATTCAAGGAAGAAAGTCAGTGTCTCATCATCAACAATTGTCATGTGATGTTTGATTGATGTGCGATAGATCGCTCGAGAGGCGGAAGAATGAAGCATTCGCGTGATTAACGTGGGGGTTGCGTGAGGGTAAAAATTTGCCGTCCATCATTATGCTAGTTGGACTGCCAACAGTGGGCACATCCATAACCTGGGTTTGACTAGGGTGGCGACTCGTCAAACTCTTTGACGCGTCTGATCTTTAATCAGGAAGGAACGATTGGTTGTCTTCCATGTTATCTCTTTTGCCATCAGCCGCTCATGAGATTCAGTTTCGGACAGACCAATGCCAACTGCTACGACGATCATAATGTCTATCTCGCTTCATGGATTCAGGAGATATTTCGATGCCCAATTTGATCATGAGCAACGGACCGGTGTTCAGCATCTTCCACAGGTGTACCTGGTGTTTCACGTTACATTAATCAAAACAGCAACGAATATCATCCCTTTATGCTCGTTTTGGCTTAGTCTCCCCTAGACAGCCCTTTATAGACGAAGGAAGATAGCCGCTCCTTCTAGTTTGGGCCGTACAATCACTGGATGGTTGTATATCTGCCGGCACAAACACCATCATCAAACGTCCACCAAGTTCGCAAGCTCGCTCATATCCATTCTCGGAATACTATGACCCTAGTCTCATATAATCCCAGTTGGTGGTCGTCCATTTACTCGTATCGTATTTCCAGTTATTTTGTGGGTTCGTGGATGACCAAGTCGGATGTTCCTGACCTAACCTGAACTATGGTTTCGTAGTTGCCGGCTCCGCGGGGGTGACGTATGATTGGGGTAAGCAAGCTAGTAACAAAAATGCTCATGCTCATATAGTATTTTTAGTCCTGACGTTCGGACAAGAGGTACGTTCATGTCATGACCGGAGCAAGAATCTCACTAACTCAATGGTTCCATAGGTTGAACTGGTCTGGGTGAGCAGATTCCTGCACTAGAAGAACAGTTTGAAAATAAAAATTGATTCGCGCCAGAGGCAACGCTGGTCCCTTATGACCGTCTTGTATCTCAGTGTATGTAGCCTGTGTTATAAGTGTGGTTGGCAAGGTCGTGCTGACGTAGAAAATACCCTAGGTGCGCTATCTTGGAATATCATACGCAGTGTATGTCTGAAAGGCTAAGTAATTGACGCTGTTCTAACCAGTCTGTCTCGTGTCTCACCATCAGCATTAATATGTTGAGTACGTTTGTCTCCTTGTATACACTATGTTTATGTCTTCTGATTGGCGGCATGCAGTTTGGGTTCCAACGATCTTAATCACAGATGCAGTGAGTATTCCACACCAATGTTTATGGCCGTTTAATGAACTGTACTCTCATGTAGGGGTGAGCAGGATTCTCGACCGCCTTGTCAGTCCAATTTTAATGACTGCCACAGCTGTGAGCTGGTTTTGAGTATGCGAGGCTGAGGCTGATCGCTAACATTACTGGATTTATCAGGCTTTATTCTGAACTTTGCAGAGAATTGGATAGGTGTCGTCGTATATGTAATATTGGGTGGTAAGCTGCGCAATACCTCCATGATATCGAGTTGACTGAAACATCATGCAAGTCATCTTGATTGCTCGGTTACATGCTATGTATCAGCGATCTAGAAAGGTGCTGATATTTCTCATTGTCATCTTCCTTGCTGTCGACATTTTCGATGGAGTAGTGGTTGCGATATCAGTGAGGAATAGTTCATGGGGTAAGCTTAATCATGGCTCAGAGATTCAAGTGCTTATAAAGGAATACCAGAGGAGCTAATTCTCTCCGGCACCTCTCAGTGCACAGTTGGCTCCGATGATTTATTCCTGCATTCCATAACTTGGATACTCACCACTGTATGGGAGGTCCTCGCATTGTTTTTCACGGTGTGGATCGCTGTAAAACATTTTCGTGAACTGCGACAACATTCAGCGGGAGGAATTATTGGGGACTGCTTCGCGGTGTTGATGGAAACTCACATGGTTTACTTTGCGAGGTGAGTTCATAAGTGACTGTGGGTCCCTTGGTCCGCTGATGTTCTGCACGCGCTAGCGTTGTTGTTGTTTCGTGCTTCGATCTTGGTTATTTTTTTTCGACAATGCCAGCGGTATGCTGATCTGCCACTACTTCTGCATGCGGCCACCATTCATCATTTCTACAGGATACAAATGCCCTGGGAACTCAGATCTACTTTGGTTTGCTTGACATCTTCCAACTTGTGCGGATGTTTGTACTAGGACCGCGCCTGATTCTTGGCGTCCGAGAATATCGGGCCAAGCTCGCAGTGGCCGACCCCGATGCAGGAACCGACATGACTTCAGTCGTTTTCCAGGAGCGCGTGCATGTGTTGTCTAGCAGTACTGTGTAGCGGCAGAAACTCGATCTGATAAACACTCTTCTGGAAAGAGTGAGAGAATTTGCTTTTTGCTCGAAGTTTCGTCATGGTATTTATACAAGTCATTCAGTGTTCTGAAGGAGATTTGAAAGTCGGACAACTTATCATGAGTGGCGTCCAGAACTCGCACCGCACCACCGAGTAAGACGTCGACAATTGCGTTGTGTACTACAATCACCTAAAAAAATTCATTCCAACAGTGGTTCTAGAAGTACTCGAATTGATGATCGAGCCTAAAACCATGGAGACTGCAAGTAGGCGCACTTGACCGCATTTGGATGCAAAAGTTCAGGCAGTAAGGCCGAGTTTTTCAAAAATTCGTACTGCAATTTCTTATGCAGCACACTGTTTACGATGCCTGACAAACATATAGACCGCCATTCCTTCCGGTCGCAACAGCTCGTGCTGTGATCGTCGCAGACAATATAGAAGCGATGACTATTTTCCTTCCATTCGGTCTCTGACGTCACATGTGTGCCCCAGTAACCGCTAAACGAACGTAGCAGCAACGCATCGTAGGATGATATGTCCACGTCGACACATCGAGAAGAGGTACCCCACACCTGTCGATCAATGTAAGACATTCGTTTTCCCCCGCGATTATGCAGATACGATTGACACCTATGATAATACCCCGCCTCGAACTAATCAGCTGACCCGGTGACTGGATCCGACAGCAAAG